CAGAAAAAGCCATTTGTCACTGTCATTGAGTCAAGACTGCACTTAGGGGGCTTTGTTGAAAATTTGATAATAGTGTTAATGATGTTTGTTAGAATGTGCTTAATGAGGGGTAGGTACATCAAGATAGGTGTTGAGGAAGCATGTTTCAGGGTGAAGAAGGCTATCTTTGACCTGTGTTATTAGAAGGAAGGAGCTTGTTGATATCTCAACATCAGATCTGACAGTATGAGACATGTTCCATGCTATTGGAAATAAGGAAGAAATAGCTTCATACAACCAATCAGTTCCAACATTTTTTGTGTGATTGAAAGCATAGTTCACGATATGCTCCATTGGTTGAGTGACATAGAAGATCAGAAGAAAAAGGAGAACCGGTATCGCTTTGTGAACTGCCATGGAACATGATAATTGCAGTTCTGGTTGGGTTCTCGAGATGGTGGAAAGTAGCCGAGTTGGGACTAGCTGACACAAACAAATTGAAGTATAATTGTGGAGACTGAGCAGGACCCAGGTCCATCCAAGTGGAACCAACACAATTCCCACAGCTGTAGGGAATTCTAACCCCTTAAAAACCTGGGATCAATGTGTATAACACTGCAAGGATGCACCCTATTAATTAACTTCTTGTCTTCCTGTCAGTATGGCAGCCATCTTGATTTTGAGTGGGAAACTCAATAGAGACAGGGCCTCCATGGGGGAATTCCTGTGTGTGTTTATACAATCCCTTGTTTTGTCATAGTTTGTAGCTTGTTAAAGGTTCATTACATAATGACCTGAGCACCCTTGTTTCAGGAAGCTTGTTTGCTTGTTTTTCAATCAAATTCTGCTGTGCTTGCCCTTTGATACGAAATATTTGGAAACATGGATCAGAACATCTTGAAAGAAGACATTTGGTACTGGTCCAGCTAAGGCTGATTCGGTGCATTAGTTTTCAAAAATCCTGTTATTGTTTTAATCCATTTGTGAAAAGAATAATTAAGATGTGTATGGGGTTTCATTGTCTCTTGAGTAATTTCTGATCTTGTTAGCAGGATAGCATTAAAGCATTAGCTTGTTCAGGTTGCATTGTGGTTAAAAATTTGGCCTGTTATGCCGAAGGAAGGAGGTGATGAGGGCACAAGACCCAACTCTCTCCGGCCTCCCTACCTCTCTCTCTCTCTCTCTCACTCACTCACTCACTCACTCACTCACTCACTCACTCACTCACTCACTCACTCACTCACTCACTCACTCACTCACTCACTCACTCACTCACTCACTCACTCACTCACTCACATTGTGAAACTGACCCATACCTGCAGGAACCTAGAGGTATTTCATTTGAATCCACAGGGCAATCTTCGTTCAGTGTAACACGTAGTGCTACTACATGTAGTGTTACTTTTCGAAGACCCTTTAGCAACAGTATTGCTTCTCAAACAACTAGAAGCAGACCTGTCAACCCCTCATCATGACAATGTGGGAGATTTGACTTCAAAATGGGGGAGATTTGACTCCAAAGGGGGAGATTTTTAAGATAGTGAAGATAAGATAATTTCCAACTTTTATTTTTAATAATGTTACAAAGAAAACCAAATATTTTGAAACAATAAATAATCAAGAAGATTCTTATACGTACAGCTTGCTTAATTTCCGTTTGCATTTTCCTCCTCCAAAAATAAACCCAGCACAATCTACCCATATAACTTTCGTTCAAAGATCATCTCAGATAAACGCAAACAGATATTGAAGTTTCACAATCGGTAGCTTGACCAGTTGACGACATGTTCAATCCGACCAGTTGTCAGGCTTCGTTACGATGCAGGTTTTCTGAGTATTTGGCACGATGTTGGTTACAAAATTCGCCAAAGAAATACCAAATGCATTTATCCTGACGCAACATCATCACCCTTAATTTCAATAAGATATACTGTTTTTTTTCTGTCTGCGGTAGTCTGTTGACAGTCCCATTACTTCGCTCCTTAAATTTCCTAGAAATGTTCACGTTATTCCATTCCAAGAAATGTATGCCATATTTGGAAGTACTATTACGTTTTACTACAATTTATGAATGAAATGAGTCTCGTTGTCGTTGTTGACCTTTCTGACCTTGATGTGTATTAATCTCATTGGTTGACTAGTACAGTTGTATGCAAATTAGATTGCAGATCTGGGACGCATGCAAACTATTAGCCAATCAAATCGTGTAAAATAATCACGATACATTCTCGCGAAATTTGATAAAGTTCTGTTTTGATATTTTCTGTGCACACAAGTCACGATGTCAGTCAAAAGGAAATTTATAAGTTTCACTTTAAACTTTGACTTTGAAATCCTATCTGTGAGGAAGCCTGATCGTGTAACTCATTGTTATTTCGACTACCGAATCAACCAATCACGCATAGTGTTGTTTCTGAAGACGGCGCTTGCAGGACATATTTTGTTTTCATTTCCAAGAGTTCAATGACGTAACTTTGAGGTATGTTGATGTTTTAACAAAGTTTCTGACAAATCTGATAACCAATAAAGTTATGTATAACTGGACTGGCCATATGTATCTACGTTCTTAAATTATGGAAGAATAAACACGCTAAGAACATGAAGACAACAGTTCATTTCATGAAGTGATGAATACTTGGCTGATTTTTCATTTCAAGTTCAACCCTTCAGGCACCTGTTAGGACTATCCGAGTTTTCTTAACAGTTTACATTGTTCAATCGTTCACCATATGAATTTAATTACCAGTTGATTACTGGACAAAAGCCCATCTGGGTCCCCCTGCGGGTGGCTGTGATAAGGGTCGCTAATCCGGGAGCCTACCGGACAGATCGGGACGCAAACTTCCCGTTCATTGTTTTTACTCACGGAACAATGGAGGCGAATTTTTTAAATAATGAAAAATTCTGTTTTGCGGGAGAAATAGTCCATCTTGCGGGAGACTGGGAGATTTCATCAAATTGCGGGAGTCTCCCGCAAAATGCGGGAGGGTTGACAGGTCTGCTAGAAGTATCTGGGGTTTCATTACTGTTGACGACATTCCTTTACAACACGGCATTGCTTGTATTACCACCGTAAGGTGTTCTCCTCCTTTCACAACAGATTTTGGTTCTGTTAGTAGATCAGGTGTAACATGTCTGATGAAGGTGATGAGGATGGTTGTGAGTTGTGCCCCAAGGTTTTGACCCTTGGTCATTTGTTCATTATAAGCCACTCTGGAGCTTCCTGCAGACACTCAGCTGTTGCAGCTGACCAGATGCCACAGCTCATAACTACTTCCCCATCTCCACAGTGCTGATGAACGATACAGCAACGCTAGTGTCTTCTCATTAGACAAGGAAACACACCTTGAGATGTAATCATATTGAGAGACAGGGGGCTCTTGGTGTAATGAATTTGTGTCAGATTTAGAATACTGTTTTAAGTCAAGTCGTAAAACAATCTCAGTTGGGGCAGTTGGTATTCTGTTAATTGCGAGTTAATTGGGCAGTCAGGGTGCCTCCAGTGGGATTCATGATTAGGTTATTTTTTTAAGTACCTCATGTTGGTTCTGATGACTGATCTAAAATGAGATCGGGTTATTAAATTGCAATCTGACTGATTGTGTGCCATTGTACCCTTGTGTTGTTTCTCATGCTATCAACCACTGGTTTGACATGTTCAGTCTGTGTCCACCACTACTGATGGGTGCCCCAGGATAGCTGCAACTTGCTGGCCACAGTTGTCTTCCTTTGCTGTCAGGATCTGCTAATTATCACCGTACTCATATTGGCTTTCTCCAAAGTCTAGCTCTTACCTTATGGAATTACATCCAACAGAAAAAAAATATACAGCTGTGATATAACTGAAATGTTGTTGTACCAGAAGCTCTTACTTCCTAAGATGGCATAGGTGGCATATAGTTTCAGGATTGTTGACCCATTTCTGGTGTCCCCCGCCGTGATATTGCTGGACTATTGCAAAAAGCGGCGTAAAACCATACTCACTCACTCAGGATTGTTGATAGTGATCTCACATCGATGAGAAGTGTTACCTTTGACATGACCCATGTCTGCAGCCGCTTGTTTCCAATGCTGTTTGTTTGTTGTTAAACACCGCACTCAGCAATATTCCAGCTATATGACGGCAGTGTGTAAATAATTATGTCTGGACCAAACATTCCAGTGATTGGCATCATGAGCATCAATCCATGCAATTGGAATACGGTGACATGCATCAACCAAGTCAGCAAGCCTGACCACCTGATCCTATTAGTCGCCTCTTACAGTAAAGCATGGGTTGTGAAGACCTATTCTTCCCCGGATCTTCATTACTAGATGGAGTGTGTACTGACAGCCTGGGTTGCAGATCTTGATCATGTCATCATTCATCTGTGCAGATACATCTCTAGGGCAGCCATGGCTTATCTGGGGTATATCTGTACCATGTGTATGTGCCAGGGAAACAAACAGACCTGGTCCTTGCTCTCATTCCACTTACTTTCCTGTCTTGCACTTTCCTCTGTCAATACCCTCCTTATCCTCTTCACTGTGTTTCCCTAGTTGGGTTGGGTCAACGTAAATAGTACTGACATGAATGACCAACATTTACTAGTGACCAGAGTTAACTGACATCAGTTGACTGTCATAAGGTCTTTGAATAATATTTGATTCATGTGAACAGCCTTTTATCTCAAGCCAAACCACTTCTCTAAGGCGCTACAATTCACTGTGCCGAGTTGCGTCCCTTATGCATGCTTGAAACCTATAATCTAAAGTTTGAATCCCAGATTATACAGATTGTTTCTTGGTTTGCCTGCACCATAACCATGCTTGTGGGCATCAATACTTTGCAAATGTCTGTGACCTACATTACTTTTGCTTTCACCCTGCTTTAAGGTGAGAAAACAGAAATACTGTCCAAAGCTTCTTTAAACAAACTCACTCACGATATTGCCACAGCTCACACTAAGTGATGCTGTATATTTTTTAACTCCCTACTATCCCCAAACAAACCCATTGGAAAGTGTACATGAATGTTTCAGGGGGCACCTGTTGACATGTGTGGCCAGTCTGATGTTGCTGAAGCCTATTCCTCCATCGAGGGCTCTCTGGCGGTGCGGTCATCAACCAAACTTGAGATGCCAGACACAGATGCATCTGCTTTGTTTGTCAAACAAGAAGGCAGACACCTCATTTGTTACATTGGGACGTCTGCAGCTGAAATCAGCAAGGTAAGCCTTCCTGTCATAAATGTAAAAAAAAAGTTCTTATGAATGCACTAATTGCCTGTCTACTTACATGCCAAGGGCACTTATTGGTGCCAGCTTTACCTCACTAGGTAATTTCAACTTACAAGCCAAGGGCACTTGTTGGTGCCAGCTTTACCTCACTGGGTAATTTCAGGGCGGTCGGGCAGCCTAGTGGTTAAAGCGTTGGCTCGTCACGCCGAAGACCCGGGTTCGATTCCCGACATGGGTACAATGTGTGAAGCCCATTTCTGGTGTCCCCCGCCGTGATATTGCTGGAATATTGCTAAAAGCGGCGTAAAACCATACTCACTCACTCACTCACTAGGTAATTTCAACTTACAAGCCAAGGGCACTTGTTGGTGCCATCTTTGCCTCATTGGGTAATTTCTTAAAAATTGTCTGAACTTTGGTTGTAGGTTTTGGTGACAAAGGATACTGCCATTGTTGTGGATACTCAGAAGACAGATGCTCGTGGACAAATCAAGAAAATCCTCCAGGCTCCAGACAAGCATGAACTGATCATCCTGACTCCAGCTAAGGTAACCCAGTCTTATACAGGGATGGGTGAGATCACCACCAGAGTAGAATGCAGAAAATGTTGCTATATTAACATCCATTTCAAATTTTTCCTTTCAGGCTCTTTTTTTCAATTTTATGAATTAGTTTTAAGTGGTTTTATAAATAACGCTCAAAATATTTCTGGCAAAGATGTTAACATAACAAACCTGATAGATATTTTCTGAGACATTTTTTTATTATTCTTAGTCATATACATGCTGATTTAATGCAATTAATCAGTAAGAAAATTTAGCCCACATCTGAATGGGTTAATGGATCAAGTGTCCACTGAACATGTTGAAGACAGGTTTGAACCCCACATGGGTACGATATTTGAAGCCTATTCTTGGTGTCCCTGTGCGTATTTCTGAAGTTGCTAAAAGCTGTGTAAAAACTCACTCTGTTGGTTTTACATCTTACATCTTTATCGTTAGATCAAAGGTTTGGCTCTTCACAATGCATCTACCAATCACAGCCCAGAGAGAAAATATTTTCATTCCATGGAGAATGGTGTACCAAGCCCATACAACATTTATAGCTGGGCATTAGCTGGAAAACATTTGGCTCCAGTTCTAACTCCGAGTTGAACAAGGAGGCTTTGGCATTTGAGGATGCAATGAGTCACATTGCAAAGTTTTTTAGTAATATTGCAGATTTTGCCAATCTTGTAGAAACTCTCAAGCATGTCAGATGTCTGGAGCAAATATGAAAAAAGTGCTATTTGATGAGGAACTGGGTAATTCCCTGTGTGTTTATATTTTTTGTTCATATTTGACCTTTTGTTAGACCTTGTATTTTCTATGTTGCAGACATAAATTGCCTCATAAATTCAGACATGCATATTCTCGATATAAATCTCTGTCTCATCCTGTTGGCTATAGATTTTAGGGCTGATTATCATAGCCAATGGGAGTTTTTGTTTAAACAGTTTATGACTGATTTTGCAAAAGACGTTTCAGGGAGAAATCAGGTGTGAACTCCAGCATCTGTCTCTGACACAGATGGATTCTGATTAAATGAAAATGAATTTTGATTTTCTGTCGTTGGAACTGTTTGCATTGAAATAGAAAACCCTGTACAAATTTGGGTATCAATTGTTATACCACTTAGTGAATGTTTTCTCAGCTCTGTGTGACTTCATGTTAGTTGTTTATTATCAACAAATATATTCAACTTCTATTGATTTGTTGATACTCATCTATTGACATTGACAAAGTACAGTGGATTGTCGGAAGATTTTGCATGGTTGGATGGGCTGGTTGCTTTTTGATGTATTAAATTTATGATTGATTTGAATAAACAAATATGTGCCTTGGTTGAGAATGAATATTTGTCAAAAAATAAAAAATAGTTTGTATGATCACTCATGTGATGAAAGTTTGAAATATTGTTTATATGACACTTGAATGAAGTAGATATTTACAGAATGATTAAAACACCTATTAGCTACATGGAATAGATTAGGACCGAGTTAGTACATTTTGTAATGTTTTCAACATCCGTTCCTGAGAGACAGGTGTCTTATTTCTGGGAAGCCAAATGGGTTATTCTTTTCATTTAACTCAGTAAATGTAGAAAATGTCAGTTTGATCTGTTGAAACAGATGTCACTTTAAAACTGCCATCATTTCATGAAAATAACGATGTACTGATTTAACAACACGTTGATATGGGATGTCCTGAGTGTAACTGTGGTGTGGGCAGTGACCACCATGAGCCCCTCACTCCTGAGGGTTTCTACATGTGCTGTGTGTTTGACTAACTGCAGTGTTGTCCATGCAGCTGGTGCTGTTGTCATGTGACCTGTGAGCCCCTCACTACTGAGGGTTTCTACATGTGCTGTGTGTTTGACTAACTGCAGTGTTGTCCATGCAGGTGGTGCTGTTGTCATGTGACCTGTGAGCCCCTCACTACTGAGGGTTTCTACATGTTCTGTGTGTTTGACTAACTGCAGTGTTGTCCATGCAGGTGGTGCTGTTGTCATGTGACCTGTGAGCCCCTCACTACTGAGGGTTTCTACATGTGCTGTGTGTTTCACTAACTGCAGTGTTGTCCATGCAGGTGGTGCTGTTGTCATGTGACCTGTGAGCCCCTCACTACTGAGGGTTTCTACATGTGCTGTGTGTTTTACTGACTGTAGTGTTGTCCACGCAGTGTTGTCCATGCAGGTGGTGCTGTTGTCATGTGACCACTGTGGGCCCCTCACTACTGAGGGTTTCTACATGTTGTGTGTGTTTCACTAACTGCAGTGGTGTCCATGCAGGTGGTGCTGTTGTCATGTGACCTGTGAGCCCCTCACTACTGAGGGTTTCTACATGTGCTGTGTGTTTGACTAACTGCAGTGTTGTCCATGCAGGTGGTGCTGTTGTCCTGTGACCACTGTGAGCCCCTCACTACTGAGGGTTTCTACATGTTCTGTGTGTTTTACTAACTGCAGTGTTGTCCATGCAGGTGGTGCTGTTGTCATGTGACCTGTGAGCCCCTCACTACTGAGGGTTTCTACATGTGCTGTGTGTTTTACTAACTGCAGTGTTGTCCATGCAGGTGGTGCTGTTGTCATGTGACCTGTGAGCCCCTCACTACTGAGGGTTTCTACATGTGCTTTGTGTTTTACTAACTGCAGTGTTGTCCATGCAGGTGGTGCTGTTGTCATGTGACCTGTGAGCCCCTCACTACTGAGGGTTTCTACATGTGCTGTGTGTTTTACTAACTGTAGTGTTGTCCATGCAGGTGGTGCTGTTGTCCTGTGACCACTGTGAGCCCCTCACTACTGAGGGTTTCTACATGTTCTGTGTGTTTCACTAACTGCAGTGTTGTCCATGCAGGTGGTGCTGTTGTCATGTGACCTGTGAGCCCCTCACTACTGAGGGTTTCTACATGTGCTGTGTGTTTTACTAACTGCAGTGTTGTCCATGCAGGTGGTGCTGTTGTCATGTGACCTGTGAGCCCCTCACTACTGAGGGTTCTACATGTGCTGTGTGTTTCACTAACTGCAGTGTTGTCCATGCAGGTGGTGCTGTTGTCATGTGACCTGTGAGCCCCTCACTACTGAGGGTTTCTACATGTGCTGTGTGTTTTACTGACTGTAGTGTTGTCCATGCAGGTGGTGCTGTTGTCCAGTGACCACTGTGAGGATCATGCCAGCTGTGATGACTGTATGACCGTGTCAGATCCTATTTGTGGCTGGTGTGTCATGCAGAACAGGTCAGTTGAAATAGTGTGTTTGTTTTATTGATTAATAAATCAATCTCATGATCCTGACAGGATCAGTGAATAGCAAGTCACAAAACTGAAAATTTAAGTAAAGCAGTCATACAGTATAAAAATCTAAATTTTGTGTTTTCTACAAAAAAAACTTTGTTTTTATCTGCCCCTTGTTTTGCACATTAATAGATTTCCTATTTTAGTGTATTGAATTCTTTCCTAGGTGCACCTCAACAGACATGTGTAAGTCATCAGCAATCACTCCTCATTGGCTGCCATCAGCCGACCAATCATGTGCCAGCATAAAAAACATCCAACCAGAAATGTTCAGCTTTGAGAGTCTCGAAAACAAACAAGATTCAAAACAGGTTGGTAGATACTTTGTGTCCATAGCAATATGTAAAGCCTGTCCCAATACAGGGATAGGTTGTGGCCTTGAGTCAATGATGTAGTTTCTGGGTTTGAGAGTTGTAGTCTCAGTTTGACTGGTATACAGTGTGTGAGTGAGTGAGTTGTTGTATGCAGCAGTACGTTATAGCACTTCAGGCTGCGTGGTCTGTGGTAAGTAGTGCTCTGCTGTTATGATGGAACCTTGGTTGCTTTGTGGTGAGTTCAGTCATCAGTTAGTCACAAAAATGGCTATGATGTTATCAATTCCAGATCCGAAATAACTAAAAATGGACATAAAGACTTGGCTTCACTCGATCAGTGCTATGAGTAACTGAAGTGCAAACTTTAATGACATTATGCTAAGCTGACACACTTAGACCACAACAGACCCATTAGGATCCGGGTTAGACTAGGTCTTCAGCAACCCATGCTTGCCGTAAAAGGTGACTATGCTTGTAGTAAGAGGCATCCATTGAAAGTGCTCCCAAACCATGATACTGCATCCAATGATCCTGATGATACCCAACACACTCAAGTAACTCAAACCCCAGGATAGATACTCACACATGACATGAAAACAGTACAATAGGTCTTCAGCAACCCATGCTTGTCATAAAAGGCGACTATGCTTGTCGTTAGAGGCAACTGACAGGATCAGGTGGACAGGCTCGCTGACTTGGTTGATGCATGTCATCGATCCCAATTGCGTGGATCGATGCTCATGGTGTCAGTCATTGGATTGTCTGGCCCAACCTCAATCAATTACGGACCGCTGTAATATTGCTGAGTTCGGCATTCAACATCAAACAATACAATATAAACAACAACACCATTCAGTACAAGGAATGCACATTTCTACATATAACAATTACAACTTTTAAGAAATTCCTGTTGGGATTCTGGGACAGAAGAGGTCCCAGTTCCCATGTGTGTCTTAGAGCTGCCTTATGAGGATATGTGCTTACAAAATGTGTGACCTGGCTAATATACTACTAAAAAAATGTTAAGAACCACCCAATGCTTTCATGGCAAGACTGACTAACGGGATCGGGTGGTCAGGCTCATGGATTGGTTGATGCATGTCATCGTATCCCAATTGCATGGATCGATGCTCATGATGTTAAACACTGGATTGTCTGATCCAGACTCGATTATTTACAGAGCGCTGTAATATACCTGGAATATTGCTGAGTGCGACGTTAAACAGCAAACAGACAGACAGACATTAAATTTATATGACATATATGTAATTATTTATGTGATATATTTGTTGCTAAAGGCAGGTGTAAAGCATTCATTATGATGCTGTACATTTAGAATAAATGTATGACTAAATTAGTGTTTTTGGATGAAATTCATCATTGTTAGATATTGGACAGTATGAGCACCCATAACATTGTGTTCATGGTAACTTTCAGATCACATTCGAGCTTGACAAGGTTGCTGTCCAACAGAAGAACAGTGACGATCTCCAATGTTTGTTTGTTGCTGGGGAAACAAGGCATGGAACACAAGCCTCTCTCCAGAATGACAGGATTACCTGCCCCTTGCCAGAGAAGGACCGCCTGCCAACCATTCCTCATGGTAAGGGTGAGTAGGTAGATCTCTCGCATGCTTGATCTTGCTTTTAGAGTTATCTGCCCTTGATGGAGGAGAGGTTTTGTTCATTCTGAATAAAACGACTTGCCAGGATGTTGTTGAGTTTATGGTGTGAGATCTGTCTTATGATAGTAGCAAGTATGAATGAAATAGGCAGTAAAATATGTGAAACGAGTCGTTTTATCTTTATGAGCGTCACCTCTCCTGGACCATATGTGAGCTTACTGTGTGAATATTTATTTATGTTTCACTGCAGTTTGTCCCGTCATGGTTAAATATTCATCATTTTGTTCATCGCATTCAAGCTCAAACTTTCAAAATAAGGGTGAAAGCTTCTATCCGAAGTACACTTAGTGTAAATAGGAAACGTGGTAATTATGATCAGTCAGAGAAATCATGTGTATTAATTATATGTTGTAGCGAATAGCCCACAACCAACTCTGAAAGGTATGTTAAAATATTCATCAGATTTTTTCAGCACTTTTTTTTCTACTCTACTGTTGATTGCTCTTAAGTCAGTTCAGGACAATTTTTACATAAACTAATTTTTTTCCCAACTTTTTATGATACTGTAGTCTTAATTGTTAAAATAGTATTTCTCTAAGCATGTGGAAAGTATTGCTTAAGTTATGTTCTTTTGCTATTTGGTATTTTTTGCATTTTGTTCACACCGCATGGCTTATATAGTTCTACATGTTTCTCAGCTTGCCTTCAGCTCATGATCAGCTCATTGCTGTCTTTTTGTTGCAATATAACTTCTTGAGAAGGGAAGTTATTACTTTTATGTGAACTGTTTCTTTACAAAGGTGCTTTTTTGGCAGTTACGTATTATGGTCACAAGATAACGGTATTTAGGACAGATTTTTATGTTGTGCTTAGAAGAATAGTGAATTTTCAACTTTTCCATTTTTTTGTCTTTTTTTAATGGTCATTTTGCAAGTGCTTGGACATGTTGCAGTATGTTTATTTGACAACAAAATTATAAGTTGCTCAAAGTGTTGGAATATATGTTTAACTTGTATGTCCAGCAGCATGTAAAACACACTAATATTTAAATGCACTGATATTGGCCAAATAAGGTATGTGCTTCATAAGATAATTGGTCAATACCATCTTTTGTACAGCTCTAAGTTCTTAATGATAAAGTTTAGTGGTTAAGAAATATTTGGTGACTTGGAAGTTGCAGGATGTACAAACATATTGAAAGCATGATGTTGGAAAAATATATGTCTGAAACAAACAAGCATTCTGTGAATTCTATGGAATAGAAGTTAGAAGTTAATCAGTGTGATTAATTATTAGCGTGTAAATCCTTGTTGTGGGCTAATGATTTACATAGTTATGTGTGTATGCCAGTATGTTCTTTGGAAACTCCCTCACTCACGCTGTTGTATGAATTAAGAGGACAGCACATGAGGTCCAGTGGATGACTATTTCTTGTAACCTTCCCCACAAAGGCCTCAGTCACAGACAATCATTGTGTTGTAAAGTGGCCAGTGGAATCAGTCACAGACAATCATTGTGTTGTAAAGTGGCCAGTGGAATCAGTCACAGACAATCATTGTTGTAAAGTGACCAGTGGAATCAGTCACAGACAACCATTGTGTTGTATAGTGGCCAGTGGAATCAGTCACAGACAATCATTGTGTTGTAAAGTGGCCAGTGGAATCAGTCACAGACAACCATTGTGTTGTAAAGTGGCCAGTGGAATCAGTCACAGACAACCATTGTGTTGTAAAGTGGCCAGTGGAATCAGTCACAGACAACCATTGTGTTGTAAAGTGGCCAGTGGAATCAGTCACAGACAACCATTGTGTTGTAAAGTGGCCAGTGGAATCAGTCACAGACAACCATTGTGTTGTAAAGTGGCCAGTGGAATCAGTCACAGACAATCATTGTGTTGTAAAGTGGCCAGTGGAATCAGTCACAGACAACCATTGTGTTGTAAAGTGGCCAGTGGAATCAGTCACAGACAACCATTGTGTTGTAAAGTGGCCAGTGGAATCAGTCACAGACAACCATTGTGTTGTAAAGTGGCCAGTGGAATCAGTCACAGACAACCATTGTGTTGTAAAGTGGCCAGTGGAATCAGTCACAGACAACCATTGTGTTGTAAAGTGGCCAGTGGAATCAGTCACAGACAATCATTGTGTTGTAAAGTGGCCAGTGGAATCAGTCACAGACAACCATTGTGTTGTAAAGTGGCCAGTGGAATCAGTCACAGACAACCATTGTGTTGTAAAGTGGCCAGTGGAATCAGTCACAGACAATCATTGTGTTGTATAGTGGCCAGTGGAATCAGTCACAGACAACCATTGTGTTGTAAAGTGACCAGTGGAATCAGTCACAGACAATCATTGTGTTGTAAAGTGGCCAGTGGAATCAGTCACAGACAATCATTGTTGTAAAGTGGCCAGTGGAATCAGTCACAGACAATCATTGTTGTAAAGTGGCCAGTGGAATCAGTCACAGACAATCATTGTGTTGTAAAGTGGCCAGTGGAATCAGTCACAGACAATCGTGTTGTAAAGTGGCCAGTGGAATCAGTCACAGACAACCATTGTGTTGTATAGTGGCCAGTGGAATCAGTCACAGACAACCATTGTGTTGTAAAGTGGCCAGTGGAATCAGTCACAGACAACCATTGTGTTGTATAGTGGCCAGTGGAATCAGTCACAGACAACCATTGTGTTGTAAAGTGGCCAGTGGAATCAGTCACAGACAATCATTGTGTTGTAAAGTGGCCAGTGGAATCAGTCACAGACAATCATTGTTGTAAAGTGGCCAGTGGAATCAGTCACAGACAATCATTGTTGTAAAGTGGCCAGTGGAATCAGTCACAGACAATCATTGTGTTGTAAAGTGGCCAGTGGAATCAGTCACAGACAACCATTGTGTTGTAAAGTGGCCAGTGGAATCAGTCACAGACAATCATTGTGTTGTAAAGTGGCCAGTGGAATCAGTCACAGACAACCATTGTGTTGTAAAGTGGCCAGTGGAATCAGTCACAGACAACCATTGTGTTGTAAAGTGGCCAGTGGAATCAGTCACAGACAACCATTGTGTTGTATAGTGGCCAGTGGAATCAGTCACAGACAACCATTGTGTTGTAAAGTGGCCAGTGGAATCAGTCACAGACAATCATTGTGTTGTAAAGTGGCCAGTGGAATCAGTCACAGACAATCGCTGAATAGTGAACCCTTTGCTGTCTTGTTTGTGACCGTGCTCCTATGACCTGGAGACCCATGAAGACCCATGCTTGTCGTAAGAGGCGACTATGCTTGTCGTAAAAGGCAACTATGCTTGTCGTAAGAGGCGACTATGCTTGTCGTAAAAGGCGACTAACAGGATCGGGTGGTCAGGCTCGCTGACTTGGTTTGACGCATGTCATCCAATTGCGTGGATCGATGCTCATGATGTCAATCATTGGATTGCCTGGTCTGGACTCGATTATTTACAGATCGCCGTCATATAGCTGGAATATTGCTGAGTGCGGTGTTAACAACAAACCAACCAACCAACCCTATGACCTGGATGGTTTATTGAGTAACTTTAACCAGTGGAGATTCAAGGGAAGAAAAAATCCCCTGCACACTGATAGTTGAAAGACTTAGATGAAATGGGAATTGTCACGTATGACGAGGCTCATTGTGTGTCACTGTACATTGCAAGAAATGATTGTTTCTTTTGCTGACACCCATCTTCCTGAAGCAAGGGAGTTGACTTTGAAAGTACCCTTTCCACCCTTGACCAACCAGCCTGGAATTTCTGGGCTCGATCGTAGCGCCACCAGTGGCTTTTACTAGTTATGTCCCTTCTATGTCCCCTCTCATATCACTTGCATTTGCTTCAGACAAAATGGCAGTGCCCAGTCTCGATGATCAAATCGATAATCAAGATCTATATTGTAATGAAATGGGTCTTACCTAGCGAAATGCATCAAATCACTTGACCACCTTGATTTAAAACATGAAAATATTTGAAAAAATATCTGTCAACGGCCAGTTGACGGTACACATGCTCTGCAAATCCTGCAATTGAACAAAATAGGCATGGCAGTTGCCATGACCCAGATGTTGATGTTTTGTTCATGACCCACATGTCGATTTCGTTAGTCCAGCCAAAATGTAACTCCACAATTTCAGCCTAGTTCAGCGAGGGTGGAAACTGGACTATGAAAGTGAGTAAGCTCCCTTGCCTCAGGAAGATGTCTGTTAAAAACTGATTTGCCGGTGTTGACTGGTCATCTTTCAGGGATGTAGCTCTAACAATGCTGACTGTAGCATAAGCCTACATTCACTTCACGACCCGTGAAGATCCAGGTTGAGAAAAGGTCTTCAGCAACCCATGCTTGCCGTAAGAGGCGACTAACGGGATCGGGTGGTCAGGCTTGCTGACTTGGTTGATGATGCTTGTCATTGTATCCCAATTGCCTAGATCGATTCTCATGTCAATAACTGGATTGTCTGGTCCAGACTCTATTATTTACAGACTGCCGTCATATGGCTAGAACATTGCTGAGTGCAGCATTAAACAGCAAACAAGGCATTCACTTCACACTGTATGGCGCTCTCTGTTGCCCTCGGTTTGCTTGTGTCAGGCCTGAACTTCTTCTGCGGGTGGAGTATGATAGAGCTGAGGTACTGATGACTACAGGATTATCCCCCTCGCCAGAAAGCTTCGGGTCTATGCCGTGGTGTTCTGCTGTAACTAAATGACTACAGGATTATCCCCCCCGCCAGAAAGCTTCGGGTCTATGCCGTGGTGTTCTGCTGTAACTAAATGACTACAGGATTATCCCACTCGCCAGAAAGCTTCGGGTCTATGCCGTGGTGTTCTGCTGTAACTAAATGACTGTAGGATTATCCCCCTCGCCAGAAAGCTTCGGGTCTATTCCTTGGTGTTCTGCTGTAACTAAATGACTACAGGATTATCCCCCTCGCCAGAAAGCTTCGGGTCTATGCCGTGGTGTTCTGCTGTAACTAAATGACTGCAGGATTACCCCCTCGCCAGAAAGCTTCGGGTCTATGCCGTGGTGTTCTGCTGTAACTAAATGACTACAGGATTATCCCCCTGTGCCATGGTGTTCTGCTGTAACTAAATGACTGCAGGATTATCCCCCTGTGCCATGGTGTTCTGCTGTAACTAAATGACTGCAGGATTATCCCCCTGTGCCATGGTGTTCTGCTGTAACTAAATGACTGCAGGATTATCCCCTCGCCAGAAAGCTTCTGGTCTATGCCGTGGTGTTCTGCTGTAACTAAATGACTGCAGGATTATCCCCCTCGCCAGAAAGCTTCGGGTCTATGCCGTGGTGTTCTGCTGTAACTAAATGACTGCAGGATTACCCCCTCGCCAGAAAGCTTCGGGTCTATGCCGTGGTGTTCTGCTGTAACTAAATGACTACAGGATTATCCCCCTGTGCCATGGTGTTCTGCTGTAACTAAATGACTGCAGGATTATCCCCCTGTGCCATGGTGTTCTGCTGTAACTAAATGACTGCAGGATTATCCCCCTGTGCCATGGTGTTCTGCTGTAACTAAATGACTGCAGGATTATCCCCTCGCCAGAAAGCTTCGGGTCTATGCCGTGGTGTTCTGCTGTAACTAAATGACTGCAGGATTACCCCCTCGCCAGAAAGCTTCGGGTCTATGCCGTGGTGTTCTGCTGTAACTAAATGACTACAGGATTATCCCCCTGTGCCATGGTGTTCTGCTGTAACTAAATGACTGCAGGATTATCCCCCTGTGCCATGGTGTTCTGCTGTAACTAAATGACTGCAGGATTATCCCCCTGTGCCATGGTGTTCTGCTGTAACTAAATGACTGCAGGATTATCCCCTCGCCAGAAAGCTTCGGGTCTATGCCGTGGTGTTCTGCTGTAACTAAATGACTGCAGGATTACCCCCTCGCCAGAAAGCTTCTGGTCTATGCCGTGGTGTTCTGCTGTAACTAAATGACTACAGGATTATCCCCCTCGCCATGGTGTTCTGCCGTAACTAAATGACTGCAGGATTATCCCCTCGCCAGAAAGCTTCTGGTCTATGCCGTGGTGTTTTACCGTAACTAAATGACTGCAGGATTATCCCCTCGCCAGAAAGCTTCTGGTCTATGCCGTGGTGTTCTGCTGTAACTAAATGACTACAGGATTATCCCCCTCGCCAGAAAGCTTCTGGTCTATGCCGTGGTGTTCTGCCGTAACTAAATTGTTCTGTCCCCACAGACCACCAGAACCTCGTGCTGCAGTTCCATGTGCAGGGCCGATCCATCGTCACTCGCAGCGTTGCCGTCTATGACTGTCGTGTTCATCAAAAGTAAGAACAGCATCTGTATCTCATTTATATGTGAATTTCCTTTTCCTGCTTTGCATTCCATTAGATATTTCAGATATTTCTATGAATACTGCCTTAGTCATGTTGTAATAAAATGATCTAATATCTGTTTATTTGAATTGTGTACTTTCTAACGATATATGTCATATCTACCGGTATATAAAAACGTATTTGCTTTGGTATTGTTACTATTTTTCATTTTACATTACACTATCTTCCAATAGATGTAAGTATTATTGCACTTTAAAGTCTTCTTGAAAGTTGATGTCAAATCATCTTTAAGAAGAAACTTAAGGATGTGTGTGGAACTATGACATCTGGTCTTTGCTGTAATGAGATGTCCTGTTTCAGCTGTACCGGTTGTACATCCAGCACCTTCCAGTGTCAGTGGTGCCCTGCCTCCAATACCTGCATCAAGGACTCCTCCACCTGCCAGGTAAGGGCACACACCTGTAATAAACATGTAACAGGTATCTCATGTTGGGACAGTTCTCGTTCAAGTTGAGTTTTGTCAGTATTAATCTGTATTTCTTACTTGAGAAAGCTACTAGCATCTGTATATAGAAGTTGATGTCCATGTTTCAACTCTGTCTTCAGTTTATCAGCGTTATTTATTGTCACTGGTAGATATGTTTGCCAAGTTTGGCTCAGTGGGTTAGGGGCCTGCTTATAGTGAATTTTGATCCCAGATTCACCCTAATTTACTTTTGATCCTGCATCAGTGACACTGGCTGTCCTTCCACATGAAGCTGACATGCTGCCGATTATATTGTTTGATCATATGTTTTCGGACGGCCATGTTGATCATGGGTCCACCCGCTGTCACGAGGGTTGTGGCGTCACACAGTCTTTGTGAATACTCAGATGGTGGCTTGATTTTATGATAATGTTGTCTTTTATAAGTGAGTGAGATGATTTGTGATTGTTCTTGTGATAAGCGTGAAAAACTATGAATGTTTCTTAAGCTTCCGAAATCCCATAACACAGGGATATAACCTAAACCACTCAAACAAATCGGTGACAAGTCTGTTTGAATATTTGAAGCTAATGATAACACTCACTTTCGAGGGCACCTGTTGTAATACTGCATCTGTTTCAGACGGGCAATGCTGTGTCCTCGTCAGACTCATGTCCTCGCATTGAGACTGCTGCAGCCGACACAGACATCCTTGTCCACTCCATGGAGGAGAAACAAATCGCGGTCAGAGTACGAAATCTGCAGGTACAGTGATTTAATTATGACCACAAGCATGTATTTTGATCACCGTTGCACAAACATACATTGTCAGAATATATTGGCTGATGCTTTGTACCTCACCTGAGTTAAATGTTAATGTGTTGATGTCATGATGTCCAGTCAGTCCAGGTGTGGCCCAGTCGTCTATGTCACCGCAATTCGCTGTGCAGAGTACATCATATTATGCATATGCAGCATTATTAACAGTATTATTGTTGTTTTTGTCATCATCATATATAGGGGCAGTGGGGTAGCCTTGTGGTTAATGCGTTTGCTTGTCATGCCGAAGGCCCAGGTTCAATTCCCCACATGGGTACAAATGTGTGGAATCCCGCCATGATATTGCGGGAATATTGCTAAAAGTGGAGTACAACCATACTCACTCATCGTTTATATGTTCCTTATGTTCACAGGGGGATCAGACCAAAAACATGAAGTGTCACTTCTCCTACCTGGGCGAGACCAAGGTTGTGGAAGGCACAATCCAGTCCACCAGCCTCACCTGTAGTCCTGTCAAGGTAGGTAAACCACACAGACCCATGTCATCTGTCTGTGTATAGGCCATTGTCCTGAATATGCCCCAATGCTTTATGTTTGTCAGATCTGGTGTCCCAATGTGTGACTGCGGATAGTACATATATCATCTAACTAGGGCTGGCTATCAATATAGATCATAGATCATGATAATTGTTAACTAAATACTGATCAATTATCAATAAATTTCGGCGAAGTTAAGCAAATATGCAAGAAAGTGCGGAAAGAAATCAACATATTTCACGCCACTGGTGAGCAATGACACATTTATGCATAGATTACTTTGTGGACATTTGAGATATAACAAAAACAGTTTCTTTTCATCTTTGACAATTGACATGATTGACAATAACTTGTCTGTTTTGGTAAATTAAACTTTATTTCATCACAATTGTATACGTAAGATATTATGGATTACACAATTTTCATAACGATAATCGTTAATATTTCTTCACATCGATCATGATTCCGATTATCGATCTTTTGAGCCAGCCCCACATCTAACCTGCTGCAGGTTCCAGAATCAAGGTTAAAGACCTTTGGCTCCAGATCCTCCAGTATTGCTGTTGCTACTTTGTTGTACTTACTCCGTCTCACAGTGGAATCAGCTCCAACACATTGGTCCTTGAAGTCTGGACTTCAAACACATCTCTTCCAGCGCTGTTCACTTTGACTCTGCAGTTCTAGTCGATGAGTGCATTCAGAGCAGACTGCAGTAGTCAGTCAGTCCTGTATCTTGTGTGCACGCTGAACATGCCTGTGTGGTGTGGAAATATAACACCATCACCTATAGCATTATTATTGTCCCCCGCCGCGCGAAAGCGCGAAGCGGGGGATATAGTATTCACGACCGTCCGTACATCCGTCCGTACGTCCCACCTGTTTGTTGCCGCGATATCTCAAGAACTAAACACTGGATTGTCTTCATATTTGGAACTATGGTGTATATACAAATTCCGCAGACACCAGTCGGTTTTGGTGACCTTGACCCCATTTTCAAGGTCACAGCAGGTAAATCTGCTTTTGGAGTTGGAAAACGGTGTTGCCGCGATATCTCAAGAACTAAACACTGGATTGTCTTCATATTTGGAACTATGGTGTATATACAGACACCGCAGACACCAGTCGGTTTTGGTGACCTTGATCCCATTTTCAAGGTCACAGCAGGCAAATCTGCTTTTGGAGTTGGAAAACGGTGTTGCCGCGATATCTCAAGAACTAAACACTGGATTGTCTTCATATTTGGAACTATGGTGTATATACAGACACCGCAGACACCAGTCGGTTTTGGTGACCTTGACCCCATTTTCAAGGTCACAGCAGGCAAATCTGCTTTTGGAGTTGGAAAACGGTGTTGCCGCAATATCTCAAGAACTAATCACCGGATTGTCTTCATATTTGGTACTATGGTGTATATACAGGCGGGGGACATTTCTTCACTTTGTGACAAATACTTGTTGTAGTTGTTTTCAATGACATAGATCATTGCTCATGTTGTCAAGCACTGGGTCCTGTGGTTGATTTTGCACAGGCTTCAGGTATTAATGTTGAATATTGTTTCACCTTTTATACTATTGACAGACTGGACATGACAACCGCTACCAACCATGGTTAGCCCAATTGGTTGTGCTCCAACTCATGACTGACAAGAACAGAGTTTTTTTTCCAGAAAATGGGAATAAAATGTGGAGCCTATTCTTCACAACCCAGTTGAGATTGGCCATAGAAATGACAACTCTCTTTTGAAAGGGGTGGTGTGGTAACAGTGGTTGAGCTATTTTCTCATCCTGCTGGGGGGCACGGGTGGCCCAGTCGTCTAAGGCGCCGCAATTCGCTGTGCAGAGTTGCCGCCTTTTAGGCATGCCAGACACCTATGATTGTGGGTTCGAATCCCGGTTGGCCCCGATTATGTTTCTAGGTTTGTCAGCACCATACCCGTGCTCTTGGGGTTTCACCGATGTGGTAAACGTCTGAGACCTGCATCACCGTGATATAACTGGAATACTGTTAAAACGGGCGTTAAACCCAACTCACTCACTCACTCACTCTCATCCTGCTTGAAACCCTGGATTTCATTTCCCCATATATGACTATAGTGAAGGCCATTTTTGATGTCCCCAGCTGTGATATATCTGCAATATTGCTAAACGTTGCCTGAAGTCATTCAGTCCTGGGTTAGAAATTCCTTGTATTTTTATGCTGATGGCACAGTTGATATCATAATGGTATGTTTTATGTAAGTTCCCAGAACCTGAAAGGCATATTCTTTTAGAACCAATTGGGACGAAGTTTGTTACATGAAGCTAGTAATTGCATTCTTTGCACAAATATGCTTTATAAATACATGGAAAATGATAAACATATGAATATGCATGCATATTGCACAGTATGATTCACTTAATGAACTTGGGTATACAGAAAGTACAAAGAAAATCATCAGTCACAAGGAATGTGACAAACTGCATGCATGTTTTTTTAAGTTTTGTGAAATGACATTTAGCAAATTCAACTTCGAATCAAAAGTATTCGTCATGTTGGCCCCCTTAAATTCTGTACAGCCCAAATAACAGTCTTCATGGGTGCCCTGCGGTACACATGAAAACTATTCCATTTCTATCCTTGGCTTAAATTGCTCATTGAGAGATATTAATTGCCTGCTTGCAAATTTGAAATGTTTATTTTATGGAATAAACATCAAAGCCAAGCCATGAGGCTAACGTTGAAGCTCTTTTGGGGCTAGTGTGTCTTGTCTGTCACTGCACACACGTGTGTTACTGAAACTTCTTTCAGGGGCTTTTTCCACTTACATTCAAACACACATGTCTTTATCTGAAACAGTATGTCTTTTATTTTTTGAATATGGACTTTACATTACACAGGAAAAGTTACTTTGGTTTTTACTTCACACAAAGCATTAACAAGCACATCAATATCTAATAAAATGACACAGCCTGTCCGTTTGTCATGATGGAAAGTTGAATAACATTACTTCCTTGTACCTATCTGTTTTTGTCATCTGCACAGAACTACTTCCTGAAAACGACCCCTGCATTATATGAGTGGTGTTTTTCATGCAGCATCTGCTGCTTCAAAGGAATAAGTCCGATTACTTCTGCGTTATCGGGTAATTGAGGAAACTGCTGCAGCAATCCTTTATTCGTATTTTGTAGAAAAATAACTATTTCTAATTCTACCTTACACATTTCTGTCGTTGTACGACATCTGATACTCCTTGTCACCATATTGTGTAAGTTTTAAACCTGTCCAATGGAAAGTTTACAAATAATCCCCGTCTCTCGAACTATGTACTCTTTAACATGTATTTTTCTACACTTGAGAAAATATTTTATGGGCGAAAATGTCTTGCATCTATGAAGTAACTGCCTTTGAAAAGAAGTTGAAAAATAAATTTCCCCGGATGTTTTCTGAGTCTTTTTTTCCATGTGAGCAATTCTGTGTGTTGCAGCTGTGATGTTATGAGTAGACACACCATATGCTGACTCTAACCATGATCACCACTCAAGTGCTACACAGTTATTTGTCCTGAGGATGGCTGTGAAAAATATTGCAACAATTTTATGTCTTCGTTTGGATTGGCTTAGGACAAGGTTCTGTGGTTTTTGTTTACGGTTTAGGAATATATAAGTGACATAAAATTGTATTAATGAGAAGATCACTCCAATAATGTGTACTAATTGTTCTAACATCTGACAAGGGTAGTTTTTTTTAGATTTTTTTTAATGTGTTGTATATAAGTGATAGTGACAAGGGTTGTATATTTTGGTATAAAACACAGGTGTATGAAATGTACTATTTCTATACTTCATGAGTAATGGGTACATTGTAGATACAAGATGAAATATGTGTTACAAACTATGTAATAGTGTGGTACATGGACTGACGTTGACAAAGGTTGTACATTTGTGTTATCACATGGCTGATTAGATGTGTTTATGCATGACGTGTGTGATGTGTCACTGGGAATATTGAAATAGAAAAAAGATAATATTAATAATTATTATTGACAACATTATCAAAAATAACGTTCCTCCAGCTTGATATGTGGTATGACTAAGACATGTCATTATCTGTGGGGAAACTGGTGGGAGAGTCAGGTACTCAGTCGGGTACTCAGTCTGGTACTCAGGACAGTCCGGTCCGGTACTCAGGACAGTCGGGTACTCAGGACATTCGGGTACTCAGGACAGTCGGGTACTCTGTCAGGTACTCAGGACAGTCCCGTTCTCAGGACAGTCGGGTACTCAGGACAGTCGGGTACTCTGTCAGGTACTCAGGACAGTCGGGTACTGTGTCAGGTACTCAGGACAGTCCGGTACTCTGTCAGGTACTCAGGACAGTCCGGTTCTCAGGACAGGCGGGTACTCAGGACAGTCCGGTCCGGTACTCAGGACAGTCGGGTACTCTGTCAGGTACTCAGGACAGTCCGGTCCGGTACTCAGGACAGTCGGGTACTCTGTCAGGTACTCAGGACAGTCGGGTACTCTGTCAGGTACTCAGGACAGTCGGATACTCTGTCAGGTACTCAGGACAGTCAGGTACTCTGTCAGGTACTCAGGACAGTCCGGTTCTCAGGACAGTCGGGTACTCAGGACAGTCCGGTTCTCTGTCAGGTACTCAGGACAGTCAGGTACTCTGTCAGGTACTCAGGACAGTCGGGTACTCAGGACAGTCGGGTACTCAGGACAGTCCGGTACTCAGGACAGTCGGGTACTCAGGACAGTCAGGTACTCAGGACAGTCGGGTACTCAGGACAGTCGGGTTCTCTGTCAGGTACTCAGGACAGTCGGGTACTCAGGACAGTCGGGTACTCAGGACAGTCAGGTACTCAGGACAGTCGGGTACTCTGTCAGGTACTCAGGACAGTCGGGTACTCAGGACAGTCAGGTACTCAGGACAGTCGGATACTCAGGACAGTCGGATACTCAGGACAGTCGGATACTCAGGACAGTCGGGTACTCAGGACAGTCCGGTTCTCTGTCAGGTACTCAGGACAGTCAGGTACTCAGGACAGTCGGGTACTCAGGACAGTCAGGTCCTCAGGACGGTCGGGTACTCAGGACAGTCCGGTTCTCTGTCAGGTACTCAGGACAGTCAGGTACTCAGGACAGTCGGGTACTCAGGACAGTCGGGTACTCTGTCAGGTACTCAGGACAGTCCGGTTCTCTGTCAGGTACTCAGGACAGTCAGGTACTCAGGACAGTCGGGTACTCAGGACAGTCGGGTACTCTGTCAGGTACTCAGGACAGTCAGGTACTCAGGACAGTCCGGTTCTCTGTCAGGTACTCAGGACATTCGGGTACTCAGGACAGTCAGGTACTCAGGACAGTCGGGTACTCAGGACAGTCAGGTACTCAGGACAGTCGGGTACTCAGGACAGTCGGGTACTCAGGACAGTCGGGTACTCTGTCAGGTACTCAGGACAGTCGGGTACTCAGGACAGTCGGGTACTCAGGACAGTCGGGTACTCAGGACAGTCAGGTACTCAGGACAGTCAGGTACTCAGGACAGTCCGGTCCTCAGGACAGTCGGGTACTCAGGACAGTCGGGTACTCAGGACAGTCGGGTACTCAGGACAGTCCGGTACTCTGTCAGGTACTCAGGACGGTCGGGTACTCAGGACAGTCCGGTCCTGAGGACAGTCGGGTACTCAGACTACTGCCTGCTGATGTTTACTGATGACAGTACAGGATTACCTTGCTAATGCTTTTAATTCATTTATCAGGTTAAGGGGCGGTCGGGTAGCCTAGTGGTCAAAGCGTTCGCTCGTCACCCCGAAGACCCAGGTTCGATTCCTGACATGGGTACAATGTGTGAAGCCCATTTCTGGTGTCCCCCGCCGTGATATTGCTGGAATATTGCTAAAAGCGGCGAAAAACATACTCACTCACTCACTCACTCATTTATCAGGTTAAGGGACAAACTGCATTAGAGATGACATCTAAACTATGATGGTGATGACATGTGAGTTATTAGTGACGACATTTGAGCTATTAGTGAGGACATTTGAGCTATTAATGTGAGGACATTTGAGCTATTAGTGTGAGGACATTTGAGCTATTAGTGTGAGGACATTTGAGCTATTAGTGTGAGGACATTTGAGCAATTAATGTGAGGACACTTGAGTTATTAGTGTGAGGACATTTGAGCTATTAGTGTGAGGACATTTGAGCTATTAGTGTGAGGGCATTTGAGCTATTAGCGTAAGGACATTTTAGCTATTAGTGTGAGGACACTTGGGCTATAAGTGTGAGGACATTTTAGCTGTCAGTAAGGACATTTGAGCTGTTAGTGAGGACATTTGAGCTATCAGTGTGAGGACAATTAAGCTATTTGTGAGAACTATCAATATGAATCAGCCTTAGAGAACATATTGTGTAATAGAATAATATATGTTAATCTATTCATGATATTTGAGCTACAATACAAATAGTAATTTATTTGATATTTATCAAAATGTCTAATTTTATGAAAATTAATAAATGATTGGAAAACAGACAGGGCCTTTGAAAATGCTTTTATTTTAAGCTGTCAGCCTGCTGTCATTTACGCTAGTAAATCAGGCTTTGTAATTCCTCTATTAATATTCAATAGGAAGTAAAATAGTCTTAGGTAATTTGTGATAAAAATGTCTGGAAGATACAATTTTTCAAGTTTATTTTTAACCCCCTCTGGCCTGACAATATACTGTTGCAGTGACAGGACCTGATAGGCAGACAAACCACTCTCTTGTTTATAATTAATCATACAAGGGAAAAAATCTATATGTTTAATGTTCGTTATTTATCCTGCCTGAAGTAAAATGATCATTTTACACAGAGTAAAGGTTATCAGAACCTAAAAACTATTGAAGAGAAGAATTATTTGTATACAGGGTTTTGGCAAGGCTTGATTCTGCCTGTGCCCTGAACAAGCATTATGTAACATGACAAAGTAGAGACTGGCTGTTTGATGCTATCGGTTAGACCTGCTCTTGTTGATTTGAAGTGATGCCATGATACCATTTGTCTGGAGATTTGGGTAATTTATCATATTTTCTCTCAAGTTGGGTGTAAAAACTATGTGCATGGAACAGATGTTTAAGATTTTAACATTTAGCATGCAACATGTTTAGCATAGTTTTCAGTTATCTTTGAAATAACTTTTAATTTTTAAAACTAATTACATTATCTAAAAACTGTAAATATTTTAAAAGATGGCTTGAGTCGTGATTTTTTTTTAAAGGAAATGGTTTAAGGGTGTTTATTTAGATGCATGGTTTTGAAATATAATGATGAATTATATCATCTACCAGTACTATACAACATTGATGGCTAATCCAATCAACGAAACAACATTGTCAGATTATCCGATAGACTGTACAACATTGTTAGACAGACGTTGTATATCTGAGACCTTATGTATCTCCTTTGGCTCATGTGATTGGATATTTTTTATTGTTTGGTTTTAATCTTTGTTAGGTCTTATGGGGCAAACCGTTCGCATCAAATACAAATTGTGCAAAGGAAATCAGTCCACTTTTTTTCATTTATTACTGTGTAAGTGTACCTTATACACATGCCAGCTTTGAGTGTGTCGGTATCGCCAACAAGTGTTTTGTCATGGTGGTCTGCCTTTCAAACAGGCAATGTAGAAGGGGTGAGCTCTTTTACTGTAAAGGTCTCGCTAGACCGATAACCCAAGGTTAAGTAGTGGCGTGATATTCTCCCCGTTACAAGAGAAACATGTTTGGTGTAACTCGGCAGCCAGGGCAAGATGACACCTACACAAGGCAGCTGTGGTGAGGGGTGCAGGAAACTCTTCTAGGCATGGCAGGAATTCTTCACGTTTTCATTTGGACTTAAAATTCTTATGTCCCTTGCTGTGATGATGCTGGAATGTTGCTAAAATTTCAGCGACTTAAGATTACACTCTCACTCACTCACTCACTCACTCACTCACTCACTCCTTCACTCACTCACTCACTCACTCATGATCACTGTTCCTGGAGAGATTAACTCCACATGGAGGTCACTTATCCATGGATGTGAGGGCAAGAATCACAGTAGGGAACATTGTCAGGCCCAGTTGTCTCCGGTGCTGCTCCTTGCTGAGTAGACATGCAGTCCATATTTTTACCAGGATCAGGGCTCGCAATTCAATGTGCGGAGTTAAGTCTCTAGGTCGTGGGTTCGAATCCTGGTTCGCCCCGATTATGTTTCTTGGTTTGTCACTGTCATACCCGTGAAGATTCCAGGGTAGAATATGTCTTCAGCAACCCATGCTTGCCGTAAAAGGCGACTATGCTTGTTGTAAGAGGTGATTAACTGGATCGGGTGGTCAGACTCGCTGACCTGGTTGATGCATATCATAGTATCCTAATTGCGTGGATTGAGGCTCATGATATCAATCACTGGATTGTTTGGTGCAGAATCAATTATTTACAGACGGAAGTCATATAGATGGAATATTGCTGAGTGCAGCGTTAAACAACAAACAAACAATAATCACCTTGATGATAATTCTTAGTCTTAAGGTAAAGTCTCCTAGCAACAAAACTTTGGTTTTTCCTTCCAGATAATTAAGCTAAGGTACATAGGGTCCGCCCCTCTATGATGCAAGTCCTCACTCATCAAACTGATGGGCACAAGAGACTAGTTCTTCCCTGTATTTCCTTAATGAAAGTACTATGGCCTGCCTCGTCTCAATAGCTGCACCACTTGTTGAGAGTAGGATTGAATTCTGTTGCTTGTGGTATTAAACAACACTCAAGCTTGGTGCTGTCTTGTGAAATCATGGACACTTCTGTTGCAGTTCATGTACAACAGCACCGTCTTGCCGTACGTGACAGCCTCGTTCAGTGTGACAGCCGGAGGGAGTGACTTCCCCTTGGATAACCCCAGTGGCATCAAAGGTACAGCTGATATAAATGTTCACATTGACATATGCCAAAACAAAACAACCTCAAAACATGGAAGCATAGTTTCTGCTTACACATTTGAAAAGAACAAATTATAAAGTTGAGAAGCACTTTTACACACCAAAAAGTGACTAAAATTGATTGCCTGAGAAACTGTTTATGTAATGAAGACATGTAATATGAGGGTTTTACCTTCACCTTGACTTACCAAGGGACCCCCAGTATTAATTTCAAGGGTCCTTACAGGAAGAACTGTAAGAACAGGAAAGAATTTCTTTAGATTTGGTAATTTCTTTAATTGCAGGACCTTTATATTTCTTGTCAATAACTAAATACAATGAATATTACTGTGCCTCCCGAGAGACACTCTATATTTTTATTCTGCATCCATTCTATACATTTGTGCTGGACGCACATTCCTACATCGTGTAGAACCCTGTAAAATGTATGCTGAGTGGTGACTATCATATATGTGTACATCCGTCATTCCCATTTCAACTTGAGGCCACTCCACTTCTCTCACTCATCTCATCTCATCCATCCATCCATCCATCTCACTCACTCACTCACTCACTCACTCACTCATCTCTCTGTCCAGTGCGTATCTACAAGTGCCCACTCTCACTCATCTCATCTCATCTCATCTCATCCATCCATCCATCCATCTCACTCACTCACTCACTCACTCACTCACTCACTCACTCACTCACTCACTCACTCACTCACTCACCCACCCACCTCTCTGTCCAGTGCGTATCTACAAGTGCCCACTAATGGTCACCAACTGCGGCAAGTGTCTGAGTATGGACGCGGAGTACAACTGTGGCTGGTGCGAGTACAGCTGCACCCTACAGAAACACTGCAAGGGGAACTGGCTGGACCGCTCGGAGACCTGCCCCAACCCACAGATCCTCAGGGTGAGTTCATGTCACATTTTGTAGTTTGTTTAAGGAGTAGTTTTATAATGGCTTCATCGGATTCTCTGTTTTTGTCTTATATTTGCACCCTTTTCATGTATTGATTAATTCATCAGTTTCTAAATCAAAGGTACACTGTGCCTGATCAAAAAGCCTGTGATTGATAAGTCTGCATTAAGAAGGTTCACATAGTCATAAGGTGCAGTGGGGTAGCCTTGCGGTTGAAGCATTAGCTCGTCACGCCGAAGACCCGGGTTCAATTCCCAACATGGGTACAATGTGTGAAGCCCATTTATGGTGTCCCCGCCGTGATATTGCTGGAATATTGCTTAAAGCGGCATAAAACCATACTCACTCACTCACTCACTTAGTCATTTACGTCACAGTTGGCTGCATGGGTGTTTCCAGCAAGAGCTTGTTGGTTCCAATGGAATTAGGCTTAAATAAGATATGTATGGGTAAGATAACTGGAGTTCAAATATTTGTGGCACACCGATGTCACTACGAGACTGCATTTGCATCTTCTATGTCACAAATTTCTCCTCAGAATTTTCAAAACAGGAGCTTCTTTGACCAAATGAAAATGAGATCTACTAAATTCTGTATGATTGAGATAATAATTCGCTAAATCTAGAAATTTGTAACAATGTTGACAATATGCCTGACGTATATTTTCGGGTTTTAGTTCAGCCCAGCTAATGGTCCTATCCAAGGCAAGACAAACATATCAGTGACGGGTATCAACCTCGGCAAGACGTACACGGACATCACCAGCGATGTCACGGTCGCAGGCATCAAGTGCTCCGTCATCCCTGACCACTATGAACCCTCATCCAGGTGCGTAGAAGGGCAATAACTCATACACCTGCAGATTGTCAACAGTAGCCAGAGAATCTCTCCTTTCTGGACTTGCGAAAGATTGTAGACTGTCTTGGGAGTTTTGAGTTACGACGCTGCGAGCCAAGCCACTCATACAATGAATGTATGACCTCCATTCTCTCCACACTCCCAGCTGTCATCTTCAGTGATTATGTTAAGCACTATTAAAACATGATTAGGTTGTTCCAACCATTCAGTAAATAAATTCCTAAACAAGCATTGTACTTTTGGTTTACCTGTGACACAATGTTATTCCTGTGGGCTGTACATGTGACTGTTTGTTCAGGTTTACCTGTGAGACGGACAAGTCCAATGCTGCTGCTAGTGGTACAATCAAGGTGACGGTTGATGGAAAATACACAGCTGAGTCAGACTCACCCTTTCACTTCGTTGTGAGTATACCACACTTCTTCATCATTTAAATCTCAAAGACTATTAAATACTAATGAGGAAAAGGGATGTTCTAAAAATACTGTAAACAGAAAACATCTTAGTCATTATCCTTATGAAGGCGTGTTTGAGAAGCATGTATTGCACTTTCCTGATGTACATTAACAACACTGATTGTTCTCCCAACAGGTGCCCTTGGTGCAGGACCTCAAACCCGAACAGGGCCCCAAGTCGGGTGGCACAGTCATTACCATCAGTGGCTTGTACATGAACACAGGCAGCAGCACATCAGTCAGTCTCGCTGGGGCACCGTGTGAGATGGTTAGGTAGGTCAGACCTGGGCACATCTTTGCTGGGGCACCGTGTGAGATGGTTAGGTAGGTCAGACTTGGGCACATCAGTCAGTCTCGCTGGGGCACCGTGTGAGATGGTTAGGTAGGTCAGACCTGGGCACATCTTTGCTGGGGCAACGTGTGAGATGGTTAGGTAGGTCAGACTTGGGCACATCAGTCAGTCTCGCTGGGGCACCGTGTGAGATGGTTAGGTAGGTCAGACTTGGGCACATCAGTCAGTCTCGCTGGGGCACCGTGTGAGATGTTTAGGTAGGTCAGACTTGGGCACATCAGTCAGTCTCGCTGGGGCACCGTGTGAGATGTTTAGGTAGGTCAGACTTGGGCACATCAGTCAGTCTCGCTGGGGCACCGTGTGAGATGTTTAGGTAGGTCAGACTTGGGCACATCAGTCAGTCTCGCTGGGGCACCGTGTGAGATGTTTAGGTAGGTCAGACTTGGGCAAATCCTTGCTGGGGCACCCTGTGAGATGTTTGGGTAGGTCAGACTTGGGCAAATCCTTGCTGGGGCGCCCTGTGAGATGGCTAGGTAGGTCAGACTTGGGCACATCCTTGCTGGGGCACAATGTGAGATGTTTAGGTAGGTCAGACTTGGGCAAATCCTTGCTGGGGCACCCTGTGAGATGTTTGGGTAGGTCAGACTTGGGCACATCCTTGCTGGGGCACCATACGAGATGTTTAGGTAGGTCAGGCTGGACCACTATGCGAGATGTTTAGGTAGGTCAGGCTTGGGCAAATCCTTGCTGGGGCACCCTGTGAGATGTTTGGGTAGGTCAGACTTGGGCAAATCCTTGCTGGGGAGCCCTGTGAGATGGCTAGGTAGGTCAGACTTGGGCACATCCTTGCTGGGGCACAATGTGAGATGTTTAGGTAGGTCAGACTTGGGCAAATCCTTGCTGGGGCACCCTGTGAGATGTTTGGGTAGGTCAGACTTGGGCACATCCTTGCTGGGGCACCATACGAGATGTTTAGGTAGGTAAGGCTGGACCACTATGCGAGATGTTTAGGTAGGTCAGGCTTGGGTAAATCCTTGCTGGGGCACCCTGTTTAGGGATGTTTAGAGATGTTTAGGTAGGTCAGGCTGGACCACTATGCGAGATGTTTAGGTAGGTCAGACTTGGGCAAATCCTTGCTGGGGCACCCTGTGAGATGTTTGGGTAGGTCAGACTTGGGCAAATCCTTGCTGGGGCGCCCTGTGAGATGGCTAGGTAGGTCAGACTTGGGCAAATCCTTGCTGGGGCGCCCTGTGAGATGGCTAGGTAGGTCAGACTTGGGCAAATCCTTGCTGGGGCACAATGCGAGATGGTTAGGTAGGTCAGACTTGGGCAAATCCTTGCTGGGGCACAATGCGAGATGTTTAGGTAGGTCAGACTTGGGCAAATCCTTGCTGGGGCACCCTGTGAGATGTTTGGGTAGGTCAGACTTGGGCAAATCCTTGCTGGGGCGCCCTGTGAGATGGCTAGGTAGGTCAGACTTGGGCAAATCCTTGCTGGGGCGCCCTGTGAGATGGCTAGGTAGGTCAGACTTGGGCAAATCCTTGCTGGGGCGCCCTGTGAGATGGCTAGGTAGGTCAGACTTGGGCAAATCCTTGCTGGGGCACAATGCGAGATGGTTAGGTAGGTCAGACTTGGGCAAATCCTTGCTGGGGCACAATGCGAGATGGCTAGGTAGGTCAGACTTGGGCAAATCCTTGCTGGGGCGCCCTGTGAGATGTTTGGGTAGGTCAGACTTGGGCAAATCCTTGCTGGGGCGCCCTGTGAGATGGCTAGGTAGGTCAGACTTGGGCAAATCCTTGCTGGGGCGCCCTGTGAGATGTTTGGGTAGGTCAGACTTGGGCACATCCTTGCTGGGGCACAATGCGAGATGGTTAGGTAGGTCAGACTTGGGCAAATCCTTGCTGGGGCGCCCTGTGAGATGTTTGGGTAGGTCAGACTTGGGCAAATCCTTGCTGGGGCACAATGTGAGATGTTTAGGTAGGTCAGACTTGGGCAAATCCTTGCTGGGGCGCCCTGTGAGATGGCTAGGTAGGTCAGACTTGGGCAAATCCTTGCTGGGGCACAATGCGAGATGGTTAGGTAGGTGAAATTGACATGGGCGCATCCTGGTTGAGGCACTGCGTGAGATGTTGAGGTAGGTGAAATAAACATAGACACATCCTGGCCAAACCACTCTTTGAGAGGTTTGGAAGGTCAGAATATAGTTGGGCACATCAGTCAGGCTTGCCAGGGCACCATGTCAGATGTTTTTGAGATTAAGAGCTCATTTTAAAAATGTTCTTCGCATACAAACAAAGATTGTTTTATCAAAGAAGCAGCATATGGGTCTTGGATGGGTAACTTAGACTCAGATATTTGGGTCGGGTGGGTACCGAGTGGGACCCAGGTACCCACAGGACTATCAGGACCTGTGGTTAGTCACATGATAAATTGTTGAATGACAACAATTATCTAGAACTCATGGTAACACTACAAGTCACTAATGTTGCATTTCTTTCTGACTATGCATTCCTTTTGACTTTTATATGTTTGAAGTTGACTGAAGCTTTATCTTTATTCAATGTATGCATGACCAGATCGTTTTATACGTGTATCTTAATATTTTTTGCCAGGGGTACGATAAGACAATTCCCAATTGGTCATTTTGTATCCATCTCTTGAGACCTCCAGTACCTCAGACAAGGTAGGGGAAGGGTAGGGTCAGACAAAGTAGGGGAAGGGTAGGGTCAGACAAGGTAGGGGAAGGGTAGGGTCAGACAAGGTAGGGGAGGGTCAGACAAGGTAGGGGAGGGTAGGGTCAGACAAGGTAGGGGAAGGGTAGGGTCAGGCAAGGTAGGGGAAGGGTAGGGTCAGGCAAGGTAGGGGAAGGGTAGGGTCAGACAAAGTAGGGGAAGGGTAGGGTCAGACAAGGTAGGGGAAGGGTAGGGTCACACAAGGTAGGGGAAGGGTAGGGTCACACAAGGTAGGGGAAGGGTAGGGGAAGCACATTCAGACTCGTCCTAGCCATTGCAGCATGACTATCTTTCAATATCATGTATTATGGGCAGTTAAGTAAAATGTACAATGTAAAATTGAATATTGAAAATATTAGATGGTGATATATTATTTATTTGAAAGTTTTTTGAAAAAAGTACTTGAAATGAAAAGAGTGCCAGGTAAAGTGTGCTACTCCCCTGGAAATACTTACTTAAATATTTGAGAAAATATTCATTAAATTGTGTACAGTAAACTTAAATGTTTCAACACAGATCCAACAAGACTGTGATTGAGTGCAAGACCTCGCAGCATATTTCCGACGACAACAAGGTTGAAGTTGAGGTCAACTTTGGAGGGTTAAAAAAGCTGGTCCCAAAGACATTCGAATACATCACTGACCCCACCATCACCTTGATTGAACCAAAGAGCGCCATTCTTAGGTAAGTAAGTAGGTAAAGGACCCTTCCTAAGCCTCTTTGATATGATTGTTGGACCCGTCTTATGCATGCTTTCAAATAGGAATTTGCTGCTCCCATGAAGAGAGTTTGTACGTGGTCTGGTGGTAGAGCGTCTGCCCAGAGAGCTGAAGGTCGTGGGTTCAATCCATGGCTGCATCATATCAAAAGACATTCAAAGATGGTACTTGTTGTTACCCTGCCTGGCGCTCGGCATTAAACAAGAGTTCTTAAATAGATTCCCCACATGGGTACAATGTGTGAAGCCATGATATTGCTGGAATATTGCTAAGAGCGGCGTAAATCCATACTCACTCACTCACTCTAACGTAGAACACAGCAAAGTTATGTTTGTCCAGTCGGGAGTGTATCAATGTCATTAAAATCACATGGATACTTTGTAATAATGTCTTTTGTACATACACATGAAGACATCATGAAAATTATTCACCAGAAGACAACAAAGTAAATAAGTAACCTCTGCGATATTTGTTACTTTGTTTTAAGCCTACATATTGTTATATTATGGAAATACTATCATTCTGTAAATAATCAATTCTGGACCAGACAATCCAGTGATTGACATCATGAGCATCGGTCCACGCAGTTGGGATATGATGACATGCATCAACAAAGTCAGCGAGCCTGACCACCCGATCTCGTTAGTCGCCTCTTACCACAAACATAGTCGCCTTTTATGGCAATCAAGGTTTGCTGAAGACTTATATTCCAGCCCGGATCTTCACGGGTCCATATGTTTTCTAAGGTAATGTTGTCACACTGTGTGGCTGAACAATGCCATCATAACTCACTCACATACTGATGCATGATTCAGAGATACACTGTTCTGTTTGTGTTACAGCGGCGGGACGTCCATCACTGTCATGGGACAGGATCTCGACCTCATCCAGAACCCCATGTTCTTCACCACCCATGGAGGAAACATCTACACCTCGGTACGACACAGGACAGAGTCTTAAACTCATGTGATAAGCATTGGAGCATGTTGACCTCATCAACAGGGCAGGGTCATGCTTGAAGTCTGTGGCAGACGAGGTCTTAAACTCATGTGATAAGCATAGGAGCATGTTGACCTCAGCAACAGGGCAGGGTCATGCTTGAAGTCTCAGGCAGACAAGGTCTTTAACTCTCGAGATAAGCATAGGAGCATGTTAACCTCAGCAACAGGGCAGGGTCATGCTTGAAGTCTGTGGCAGACGAGGTCTTTAACTCTCAAGATAAGCATAGGAGCATGTTAATCTCAGTAACAGGGCAGGGTCATGCTTGAAGTCTGTGGCAGACGAGGTCTTTAACCCTCATTATAAGCATAGGAGCATGTTGACCTCAGCAACAGGTAGGGGGAGGTCGGGTAGCCTAGTGGTTAAAGCGTTCGCTCGTCACGCCAAAGACCCGGGTTCGATTCCCAACATGGGTACAATGTGTGAAGCCCATTTCTGGTGTCCTCCGCCGTGATAATGCTGGAATATTGCTAAAAGCGGTGTAAAACCATTCTCACTCACTCACTCAGTAACAGGGCGGGGTCATGCTTGAAGTCTGTGGCAGACAAGGTCTTTAACTCTCGTCATAAGCATAGGAGCATGTTGACCTCAGTAACAGGGCAGGGTCATGCTTGAAGTCTGTGGCAGACGAGGTCTTTAACTCTCGTCATAAGCATAGGAGCATGTTGACCTCAGTAACAGGGCAGTGTCATGCTTGAAGTCTGTGGCAGACGAGGTCTTTAACTCTCGTTATAAGCATAGGAGCATGTTGACCTCAGTAACAGGGCAGGGTCATGCTTGAAGTCTGTGGCAGACGAGGTCTTTAACTCTCGTTATAAGCATAGGAGCATGTTGACCTCAGTAACAGGGCAGGGTCATGCTTGAAGTCTGTGGCAGACGAGGTCTTTAACTCTCGTTATAAGCATAGGAGCATGTTGACCTCAGTCACAGGGCAGGGTCATGCTTGAAGTCTGTGGCAGACGAATGCTTTAACTCTCGTTATAAGCATAGGAGCATGTGGACCTATGTCACAGGATCATGGGTTCAAATCCCAGTTCGCCTTGACTATGTTTCTATGTCTAATATACGTCTGCACCATACCTGTGCGTGTGTGTTTCACATATGTATCAAAAGTCTTGAGACCTGCAACAATTTGGGCGTTCCTCCCACATCCAACTGTCATGCCTTGATCCAACTGAAATACTGTTTAAAGCAGTGTTCAACTGACCTCACTCACTCACTCACAGGAACTAATCTTACATTACCCTGAATAAATGGGGAACGAGTGTCCACAATGACTGCGCATTAACATTGCTTGAAAGGGTGATCATAGGACTTATTATGTATCAACTATGATCCTACTTACTGATCCTACTTTAAAGTCTGTGTGTTTCAATGTTTTCTGTTTTCTTCAAATGTGTACTTTGTGCATTTTGTGACTCGTCAGTTCACAAGTCCAATTGTTCTCTTCCAGAAATGCCACCACGACAACAAATTCCAGATGCAGTGTCCTGTTCCCGGAATCCCTGCTCGCGGTTTGAACGTGTCGGCTACCAGCCCGCTAGAAGTGCATTATGGGTTCCACATGGATGGTGTCATGACCTTGAAGAACATCTCTCACCTTGCCCAGTTTGGCCTCCTCATGTATCTCCCTGACCCGCAGATCTACAAGTTCCCCGGTGACGCCCACACCAAGAACTACATCAAGAAGGACCACTTGTCCATCAAGGTAACCATGGATGCATAGCTAAAACACGAAGTATTGATACTAAGGAGATTATTGAAGAATGAGATCATTAAGCTTGTGTCAGAAAGCATGTGCTCCAGTTTATGTAACAGCTCTGCTGTGTTGTAACATCAGTTTATAGGTACAGAATCAAATGTGATATTGTTTTATCTGATGTCTGTGGGGCGGTCGGGTAGTTAAAGCAGTCGCGCCGAAGACCCCGTTTCGATTCCCGACATGGGTACAATGTGTGGAGCCCCTTTCTGGGGCCCTACACTCATGTCCGCCGTGATATTGCTGGAATATTGCTAAAAGCGGAGTTAAACCATACTCGCTCACTCACTCTGATGGCTGATGATAATGCAGAAACAAGTACATACAAAGAGACAAAGTTTCAGATCATAAGTTTACTTAGCTCTGTCAGAAGATTATTTCCTTTGATGATGTGATGCACAACAGTTATCAACAAGTTATACAAGTTTATGAATTTGTATGATCTTTCTGCCACACAGGGAGATTTCCGCAGTATCCCTCCACTGATGTCCAACGTTGTGGTGTATGTTGGCCAGGACGTGTGCCTGAACCCCGCCGCCACGGACACTGCCATCACTTGCCGCCCCCCAAGCGCACCAGGCGGCATCGACAGCAGTGGCAAGGCACTTGTGAGGGTAAGTTAATGCAGTTTGTACTCCCAGCTTGTGCCTTGATACTCACGTCATATTGCTGGAATGTTGCTGAGTTCAGTGGTACACCAAAAAAATAAAAATGCATTAGTGCTACAGGGCGTTGAGGTGGTTTAAGCGTTTACTCGTCACGCCATAGACCCGAGTTCAATTCCCCACATGGGTACAATGTTGGAAGCCCATTTCTGGTGTCCCCCGCCGTGATATTGCTGGAATATTGCTAAAAGCGGCGTAAAACCAAACTCACTCACACACTCACTCACTTCATGGCCTACACTCAATTATTTCCAGGCAACTGTGATAGAGCTGCCTGTGATGTAAAACATTTTTTCTCACTTACTTCAGTTCAAAATAGAAACAGGCTTTCAAAATATTTGTCCTTTTGTTGGTAGGACCTTTGTCCTGTTCTACCAACACCTTCATGCCCTTCAACATTCCTGCGTTGTTAGGGTCAGTCGGGTAGTCTAGTGGTTTAAGCGTTCGATCGTCACGCCGAAGACCCAGGTTCGATTCCTGACATGGGTACAATGTGTGAAGCCCATTTTTGGTGTCCCCTGCTGTGATATTGCTGGAATTTAATCTATTAGATCTATTTCTAAAAGCGGCATAAAACCATACTCACTCACTCACTCACTCCTGCGTTGTTCCTTCCCAGGTTCAGATCGGGAACATCAACCGCCAGGTGGGATACCTCCAGTACTACGACATGTCCAGCCAGGACAAACCAATCGCTCTCGGAGTCATTCTGGGCGTCGTACTCCCCATCCTCGCGATCATCGTCCTGCTCACCATCTGTGTTATCCGTCGTCACCGCAAACACGGCCCCAGCGAGAACTACATCCCCGATGTGCTGAAGGACTACGAGGGCAAGAAGGAGGAGGAGGAGATTGGCATGAACCATGTGTCTGTCAAGGCGGACATGAACGGACAGATGACCGATGATAAAGGTACTTGGATTGTTCACTATTGTTACAATACAGTACGAACATCATTTCTGTACAAGGGTCACAGTACCCATGCTATTATATAAGAAGCAATGCTCACTATTCTACATTTATTGCCTGATATTATGACCTAATTTTCCCAGAAAGATGCATGGAATGACAAATGTGTTGCATACGAGGGTCAGGATAGGATAATTATGTTCCAAGACAAGGAGGGGCACGGGTTGACCAGTCGTCTCAGGCGCCGTGATTCGCTGTGCAGAGTTGCGTGCCTTGGGCACGCTAGAAACCTATGATTGTGGGTTCAAATCCCGGTTTGCCCAGATTATTTTTCTAGGTTTGTCAGCACCATACCCTTGCTCCTGGGTTTCACTGAAGTGGTAAACATCTAAGACCTGCATCACTTTGGGCTTTCCTCCCACATTAAGCTGACACGCTATGACTGGAATACTGTTAAAAGCGGCATTAAACCCAACTCACTCACTCACTCACTCACTCCAAGACACGGATCAAGACATGAACTATATTGACACACAAGTGTATTATGAATATGTTGCAATACAAGGTTCAATATATGAACTATATTGACACACAAGAGTATTATGAATATGTTGCGATACAAATATCAAGATATGAACCATATTGACTCACAAGTGTGTTATAAATATGTTGCAATACAAATATCAATATATGAACTATATTGACACACAAGTGTGTTATGAATATGTTGCATTACAAATTGATATCAAGATATGAACTATATTGACACACAAGTGTGTTATGAATATGTTGCAATATAAATATCAAGATATGAACTATATTGACACACAAGTGTGTTATGAATATGTTGCAATATAAATATCAAGATATGAACCATATTGACCCACAAGTGTGTTATGAATATGTTGCATTACAAATATCAAGATATGAACTATATTGACACACAAGTGTGTTATGAATATGTTGAAATACAAAGTTCAATATATGAAGTATATTGACACTCAAGTGTCACGTTATTAAGAATATGTTACAATATGATAATCATGATTAATTAAGATTTACAGTAGATAGATTGAAGTGGCCCAGTTGAAGATGAAAAATATATATGTGGACAAGTTTGTCCACCAATAGATTCAGCCAGTGTTTCACCTGGACCAGTGAGAGTTCACAGACTCTCCATTTGTTATCTCCACTATGTAACCGTTACAGATTCAGGCCCGTACATTGCGGAGCTACTGGGGAAGTTCGAAGACACGGCCCTCCGTCAGAACATCAGCTCCATGTTGATAGCTCGCAGTCGGCTGGACATTGGCGAACTTATCGGAAAAGGTGAGGAATTCATCTTATACTAATTCAGCAGAAATATACATTACAGCAATCTCCCCAACAGGATGAAATGTGAGTTATCACTCACGTGTGAATGTTAACGTTTAAATAAAGGACATATATTTACAGGACCCATTTCTGTATTTTGATACGATATGGAAATGGCCCCAGTTGCTAAATGTTGACAATGCTTATTCTGTCTTCAGGCAACTTTGGTGCTGTTTATAAAGCGCAGTATCAACGGACAGAAGATGAGAAACCTGTACAGGTGGCTGTTAAAACACTACAAGGTTAGAAACATTTAAGCTTTTCTTTTCATTTCACATATTTTGTCCTCCTCCCTGAAGCATGCCTGACATTTGCTGGTTCAGACATTCCTGTTGCTAGGGACTGAATCTAGGGCTGGGAAGAGTCCAAATTTACTACCCACCTCCCTATTACTCGACCCTACCCGGGTACCAACTGTAGGTCTCAAGCGGTAGATACAAACTGTCCGATTGGGAATAGTTTGACCGTAGCCCTGGCAAAATGTATTTAGATACATGTATTAAACAATCTGGTCATGCATAAACTGAAGTTGGCTTAAGTTTTATCTTTATTCAAACATATAAAAAGTCAGAAGGAATGGGTGCACAGTCAGAAAGAAATGTGAACATTAGCAACTTGTAGTGTAACGATAGAGCTCTTGATAATTTTTGTCATTAAACAATATATCACGGGTTCTGGTAGTCCTGTGGGTACCTGGGTCCTACTCAGTACCCACCCGACCCCAGTTAACCGTCCCAGCCCTAACTGAATCCCAATAATTGATTGCATCCCTAGGTTTATGTGTCTCATCTATTCAGGAGCCCTGGTATCATCACTGTTAGCTGGTGTTTCATTAACCCATGATTATTATTTAGTCAGAATCATACAATGGACGGAGATTTCTAATGATTAGGGAAAGGATTTTTGTTATTATAAGGGTAACACTATTTTTTAGGGCATTATCATTTGCAGAAGCCCGAGGTCTTCCATAAACGGAATGGCTGCTGAGTGGTTAAAGCATTTTCTTGTCCCTCCTGTTATCCAGGTTTAATTCCCCACATGGGTGCAATGTGTGAAACCTATTCTTGGTGTGAATATGGCAAATAGTGTCTTAAGACTGTATTGTATAATTAGGCTAAAACAGCAATAGACTTGGTTCTCAGGCGCCACCTGCATTATCATAAAGTCCGTCGCACATTTCGTTTTTATTTCCATTTTTAAAAAAAATTAGAAATCCTAATTCTTAAAAACAATGTGATCCAATATAGCACAGTTACTTCCCTTTGCATTACACTGCTTTACATCTTGTATATGGTCATGGTGGCAATAGGAGTTTGTATGCTTGTTCATGTAGGGATGCCCTTTCCCAGGTTGACGTTATACAACTGTTTATTTTGGTTACATACTAGTTTGAAAAATAACACCGCCCGCACTATATTTTCAAAAGTCATTGCCTGAGAACCAGTTCTTTTATGTTTTAATCCTTATGAATTGCTCTGTACAGGTAAGAACACGGAGGTCGAAGCCATGCAGGCGTTCCTCCAAGACACGGTACTTCTCAAGGACCTGCAGCATCCCAACATCCTGTCCGTGGTGGGCGTGTGTGTCACCGCTAGCGACGACCCCACTGTCATCATGCCCTTCATGGCCACTGAGGATCTCAAAAACTTCATCCGGGAACCATCTAAGGTGGGTAATCTGTCATGCCGTCACAGATATATGAAATACAGTAATGTGAAAGAATCGGGAGTCATTTGACTTCTTTTGAGTTGTATTTATCAGAACAGGACTTGTCATGTCCATTAAAAGTTTACTGTATTACTATGCAGAGTGATCGCCTCCGTGGTCTTGTGGTAGAGCGTTAAAAGATTGTACTTGTTGTTACCCTGTCAGGGACTCGGCATTAAGGGGCTAAAACAAGGACTGGTCGGCTCAGAGTCAGTATACTGTGTCTGAGTGGGATATTCATGTTAAAGTGCCTCATGGTATCTCAGTGAGCTAGCACTATAAATCGGCATCAGTCCGGACTAGTACAAGCAGCCACACGAACACACACACATGCATGCACATAGCTATATAAGTGCAATAATCTTGGACGCGACGTTAAACCCCATTTCACCTCACCTCACTAAACAGAGTTGAAGCTGTATCATGAGGGGTAAATGGTACCTTATGCGTCCTGTGTTTTATACCAAAAGCCGGAGGTATTATACTGATACAACAAATTTATCTTTCCAAAATGTTTTAATCTGCCATTGTAAGCAAGTTTTTTAAATCAAATTTGATAGAAAACAGCTGATCGATTGAGCTGAGGTCAACTTGTGCTATGTCACGTAACTTCCATTGACTTGGAAAAAGCGTGTGGCCTTTAGCTTCATGGCTGGGTATAAGGGATTTATTCTCCCACTCAGGAATTTATTTCCCTCTCAGGCAGGATACATAATATTTCCTCAAGGTTACTTGAACTAATCAGATCTCATCATTCATGGTTGTTGTTGTTGTTGTTTAACGCCGCACTCAGCAATATTCCAGCTATATGACGGCGGTCTGTAAATAATCGAGTCTGGGCCAGACAATCCAGTGATTGACATTATGAACACCGATCTACGCAATTGGGATACGATGACATGTATCAACCAAGTCAGCGAGCCTGACCACCCGATCCCGTTAGTCGCAGATCTCATCATTTAGATGTGCAGGTATGATAACATATTTTACCATGTGCTTTCTGTTTGTCTTTTCAGAACATAACAGTATTAGAACTAGTAGATTTTGCCCGCCAGATATCGGAGGGAATGACGTATCTAGAAGGTGTGAAAGTTGTCCATAGGAATCTAGGAGCCAGAAACTGCATGTAAGTAGAGGCATGGTTGAAGCTTTCACCTAACTGTTGAGGGTTGTGTTGGTTAGGATACCAGCTCCCACAACATACAGCTTAGAGTTGACACTTCAGCATATATGACAACGTTTGGACACTGAAAAGAATTGTTTCTATCTTTCATAATGCTGAACTTCGTAAACTTTGATACTTTGATACTTTGCTAATTCCTGAAAATGTCATTAGTTTTGTCCTTTTTGTCCCCATATTAATGGAATAACTAATACTCGCTTATATTGCCATCTGTAAAGCGAACACACCTATGTAACATCCTTCAAAGTTGATGCTAATGCGATATACAGTATCCTATGAAATTATGGCACAGTTATTCCATTAATGTTGGGGCAGGGGGGTAGTCTTGTGGTTAAAGCATTTGCTCGTCACGCCAAAGACCCAGGTTTAGATAAGCCACATGGGTACAATGTGTGAAGCCTATTTCTGGTGTCCCCTGCCATGACATTATTGGTATAATGCTAGAAGCGACGTCAAACCATGCTAACTCACTCACTCCATTAATGTGGCAAGGACAATGACTTCTGAAGTCAGATTCTGAAAGTACGGAGTGGATTTGGAAGTAAGATGTGTTCCTCACCTTACTGACAACATAACTATCTTTTACAGAGTAACCCCCGAGAAGACAATCCTGCTGACTGAGTACGGCATCACACGAACGCTGTTCCCACAAGACTTCTACTTTGGTGATGACAGCACTGTGAAGGTGCTGCTCAAATGGATGGCACCTGAAGTTATTGACGACTTCAACTTCTCCAGCAAGTCCGATGTGGTGAGTACATCACTAGGGCAATAAGGGAAATAATACCCTGTATGCGGTTGAACACAGCGTTATATTCCACAGATGGGTACAATTTGTGAATCCTAATATTCATTTGTACTGCTGTGACAGATATTGCTGATTTAATAAGGATATATTTGTATTTCTCTCAAATGGATGCTGACATTAGTTAGATAAAAGATTTGTACATGTATATAGAGTGATGATAGACTTAATTCTGTATCCTGTGTACAACTGGGACTAGTTAGTGTAATCTGCTGGAGGACTATCAGAAGATGATGAAACAAATGAATAAAGACATATTTCATGTGTTGCTTCAGCAACATTTTGGGAAGTGGCAAGCCTCCTGCCATACAGTCAGTGAGTGTGTGCCGTAGCAGGAAATAGCTGACACACTCCAGGCAAATATCACTGGAGTAGGTGTTTAGCATCAGGAAACCAACACTTCCCTATGTCCGGGCTGATAACACTGAAACCAGTTATTTGCCAAAGCATGTCCTTAAAAACAATCAGCTAGGATAAGGAGGTAGTCTGTGCCACAAGAACCTTTCAGTCTACTTGTACTTGCCTCAACTTGTCTTGCAGCATCCCTTTCTGTTGATTCTACTGTTAAGATTGGTCTGTCATAAGCTCAAATAGTGAGAAATTTAACTGCTTTACTTTGACGAGCTAATGGCTAAAGTTGCAGACTTAAGAGGTTCATAATTAATGATGATTAAATATAAAAAAAACTACTGTGGATCAGGCCACAGTTGGCTGAAAACGAATCTCCCGTAGGTATGGTAGCCCTGGTAGATCCATGTACTGTAAATTATGAAATTAATGTGGAATATGCAAATGTCCAACATCATCATCATCATCATCATCATCATCAGATTGACATACTGGAGTGTTATTGTCATGACTAGTTCACTGAACAAAGGTGGGAACAGTGACCTACATGACAAACCTCACATTAAGCAATGTAATTGCATGCTACGTGTATAGTGCTTTTCTCTACATTCAGTGTCAAATGTGGTCACTTTGTTTACATAAGTTCATCAAGCCTGTTGTGACACTCGCCAACCGTCTTTGATGACGTCTTTGATTTTGGTAACTTTGTAAAAAGTTCTGTAAAATCTCACTCACTCACTCACTCACTCACTCACTCACTCACTCACTCACTCACCCTTGCTCACCCAGAAGTTAAGGCTTATGTACCCAGTAGTTGTATAGTGACTTTCTGTTGTTTCAGTGGGCATATGGTGTGGTGATGTGGGAGCTGTTGACAAGGGGGGTAACTCCGTACCCCGATGTGGACAGTGCTGATCTTCCTGCCTACATCAAGGGAGGCAAGCGGATGAAGAAACCCAAACAGTGTCCGGAAAACATGTACGATTTTGTCCTTCTGCAATTCTGTCTTTTATGATTGCTACCACAGACCTTGTTCAGCAAACTGAAAACGTGTACAATTTCTTTCATTCCCCTTGATCATTAGCTTAATAATTATTTATATTAATATATTTATTTTATACATCTTTCAGCATTATTCATTTTGTATATTATTGACCCTAAGTATTGATTGCATTGGCTATTTGGATTGAATCTATACTACTCAAAACAAGTTAACGCCCACAGTTGAAAGGCTGTGTGTTGCAATACCCACCAGCCAAGACAGATTTACTGTTATGTAGTCTTATGGAAAATGTGGGTGTTCTTTAACTTCTTTTGAGTAATATATTTAAACGTCTCATTCTTCACTTCTTTAAGACCTTAAATTACCAATTATCAGATAATTAGGATATGTAAGACTCAGGAGTGACATAATTAGGGTTAAAGAGGAACTGCTATCTGACCTCCAGGAGAGATTTGTGAACACACATTTTGTTTTGCAGTTTGTGGACAGCCACAAATCAACTGAACCAATAATTCAGCCCACTGACTTGCACAGGAATTCTGAAGTGAATATATGAAACTTTATTTGTACAGTGAATATTGTCTTTTCATCCAGGTACCAGCTGATGCAGAAATGTTGGACTGAGAAACCAGAAGACCGACCCACATTCCAGGCTGTTCAAGATGAGCTCAAGACTTTCATCCAATCAGATGAAGGTGTGGACGAAGGGGCGGAGTCAAAGCCACTCATGAGCAATGTTGATATTGGTGGATCAACGGAGTACTTGGAAGTGATTGGATAATTGGAGACTGTTTTTGACTTTCAAGACCTTATTCCCCTGCAATAAATTGCCACACAGATTGTTCAGGGATCAACTATATTGCCATGATGATATGGAAGTCCTAGGATCAGAATCTCATATCCGAACAGATGATACTTTGATAATCTGATTGGATAAAGTTTTAGATAATGTCATTTGATTGGCTGAAACATATTTGAAATTCCATGCTTGTCAGCAGTTTGAAATCATCTATTTCGTAAATGTTGTATGACTTGCTAAAAAGAAATAGCCATCTGTTTTATGACATGCCGGAAGAAGACTACGATGGTACAGATATGACAGTGTGAAGAAAGTGAACAAACAAAAGAGGAAATTTCCCACTGCTGAAATAATTATTGTTCACATCAGTTAAAACACATTTTCACACAACAAACAAGAATTCCACAAGCGGGTGTACCCCCTGATATGGCATCCCTATATGATGACATTCGTACAAGGGGTTTATGAAAATGGACACTGAGAAATCCTGATTTCTCCTGAAACAGAATGATATTCAAGTGTGACAATAACGTGTGCCTCTGCAGTGTTTGGTGGAAGTCACATGATGCGAACTGGGGCCACTGTATAATACCGGTAACATGTTGATGCATTTTACAAGACTTTTTTTATTTTTAGTTTTACATGACACTTAACTTACTGATGGTGCTATGGACCTAGTTTAATGAAACAGTGCAAAACCCGACATAGGTACTTTTATCATATATAGATCTGGATCTGGTTTTACATAGGGTTAGTCGGGGGTAGGTGTATCCTTACTTGGGACTAAGTCCAGCGGCAGCTTATTATGCCATCAACTTTTGTTGAATTTCTTTTTTAGTTATATATCATGTATGAATTCTTGAACCAGCTAAGATGATTATAAAAAGTTGGAAGCATTGGTTCATTCACTGTTTCAGTTGCTGGAAACCTGATCACAGATTTATGTATTTTGAAAGTTTACCTGAGGACCATGACTTTATCAGCATTAAGCTTAATATCAAATCAAACTTATTTTCAGTGATTACATTTTATATCATCTGTGCAAACTTAAAGCGTTTTTGTAATATTTTGAGATGTGGTGAACAAAATACATTTTCAATTCTCTGTTTTCCGTCCGTAGGCTTCTTTTACATCCAACTAACAGCTGTTTGTTGCATATTGGGGGGGGGGGGATAAATGTTCACTCATTACCTCCAAGACAGTGATGTAACATTTGCACCAATGATGATCGATACTTCAAAATTCTTAGATTGATTTGTTTTTCTCGTAAAATTAGAACACAACAGCTGTCAATAGTTGGAAATTATGCACAAAATCCTGCAATAATTTCAACTGCCTCATTTGATGAACTTGGATGCATGTGTCATATTGAGTAGTCTCCCTTTGTTGTACATTTCAAATTCTGCTTTTAAGAATGGCTCTGTCCATGTTAATTATGGTGCATGTGTGATATGTGAAATACATCCTTTTGATGGAGGTACAAGTATTTTTCAGTAGATAGTTAGGTGTGTTTGAAATATTCTATTCTTTTACAACCCCAACATCAAGCTCCTCACAGTGATAGCCCGTTCGCAGAGCTCTCTATAATATTGCCGACACCAGTCAAAGCTCTCCACTGTGATTTGTGGCTACAACCATGCTTGGAGTTTAACTTGCAACCAATTGATCGTTATGTTTACAAACAAGGGAGATATTCATGACGCCAAATACTCTTACCCCAGCTAAATTGTTGGGTTTTTTAAATTGTTAATTTGAATTTCTATTTCATTTCCAATATCATGTAATTGGTATTGTAAGAATTGGAAGGGGGAAGTTGGGTGATTTTCAGTTCGTCTGCAATCTCAAACCAATCTGATCAAACAAACAATTGATCTCAGAAAGAAATCAGTCATAAACCTTTTTAAAATTCTCTTTGATGGCATTCCCAAAGACAAGCATAAACATTACTACATTTGGGGTTTGAGGGCAGATTAAAAATATCTTGTAATGGCCACTCTCACACTGACGGCAGTGATGTTACCGAGGGCATAACGAAGGTGTCACATGCTGGGAAGGAGCTTGTCCCATCATTGTAGAAGGGAGTTAACTCCAATGCTAAACTCAATGGGAGATAACTCTAGCTAAGGATGGCTTAACCCTCCTCCATATTGTAAAACAGTAAGCAGTAGATGTGCCCAGTGTTTTATATGTAAGATAATCACATATTTATTTTTATGTCTGTGTATGTCTGCTGCAACTGGATACCCCCTGTCTTACCAGTGATGTTAGCATGAATATTCAGGCCTACATACAAGAACTGAGTGTTAGCCGGTAAATCTATTAGTGCTGACACGACTGATCAACATTAGACTTCTCAATATTTTTTCAGGTGCTGAAACAATATTTGCAATGATCAGATTTCTCAATGTCATGTCAACAAATGATTTATTACAGAAAGAGAAGATTCTTTCTTTGAAATGCAGTTCACTTGGTAGAAGTTCAAATTTAAAAAATTTCACATACATTGTGTCTGTAACATTACATAGGGCTGAATATTTGGGTTGGGTTGGAAGTTGTACAAGTGTGCATGTCCCTAGGTAGAATGTGTGTAGACAGTGGACATCCTCAGGCTGCATAGACGCTCCATGTTAGAAATGAAATCATGTTGTAAACATCTTCCTCAATAAGTAATCATGTGCTCTTGAACTACCAACTATTTCTCTACAACCAGTATTGCATGTGATATAATATTCTCAAGGAGTCATCCCTTCACAAGCACCTGTCACATTCTTTCACTTACTCCGTTGGTGCTGAAGAAAAACATTCACAGTGTTTTGATGAAGTTGTTAAAGTTGTGCTTAAAAGCAATATGCATAATGAATTTCTGCCTTTTAAAAAAATTTCTGGAAAATTGATTTTATATTGCAGAAATATTGATTGAGAAAAACATGATTGATTTTTAATTATATGTAAACTATACAAATTTGATGCGTTTATATATAATGCAGAATTGCTCTCTTAAACTTGGATAAAATATTTTCATAACTCTTGCCAAATATTTCTAACTTTTAGGAAAAGATTTAAATATTTTTTATGATGTGCTTCCACTTTTGGTATTTTTGTACAAGTTTGGTAATTCCTATGTATTTACGTTTGTGTACAGCAATCAAATTGTGTACTCTTTGATAACATCATTTCTGTTGAGTATTGAACAACATGTACACAATCTATTTTCTAGACTGCATGTGTGTGATTAGGAAACTCATGTAAGACATCTGTGAGTTTTATTCTGAATAAGGATTGATGCACTCTGGATCAGTTTCAGTGAGACTGAGCTGAGTTGGTGGTGTCCTAATCGATGAAGTGTATCAGTTATGTAATTGGTTAAACCTCAATTAATTTGCAAAATTTAGATGTTTGCTCAACTGGTTTTTGTTCATATCCTGTATAGTTGTGTATGAATAAATGAACTTTGTACCTCACAGACTACCATGGTACTGTGGACAAGAAATTAAGCGAGTCTTGTGGTACAGAATGACATCCCTTGAAACCAAAATAGTGTTACCCATTTTCTAGGTAGGGTGATACCATGGTAGTTTTGTGGGGATGACAGGTTCCCATGTATACATGTGATGGCAGATGCGTGAGACCAGTAGTCTAGCTGTAGATCTATGCACTGTAATGTCAGTTGATTTTTCTACTTATATGGTGCTTGCCGAGCTCCTGTACATAGGACAGATGCGCTTTTAACCACAATTGTAATGTGCTTCATACAACCTTTGTCTATAATCAAAGCGATCTTAGTGACATTTTGACTAATTTATGATGTTTTTAATTTTATATGGCTTTTGATAAATAAAAGCTAAGCTTTGTATGTAATGTTGTTTGTTTTATGTCCAGAAATGTGTGTTACGTTTAAGTTGCATTGATCCCAAACATGAACACTACACAACAAAGTACCTGAGAAAGAAGTGTTAACCCCCCCCACACACACACACACACACACACACACACTGTTACCCTGTCTGGAGCTCGGCATTAAGGGGCTATAACAAGGACTGGTCGACTCGGAGTCAGACTACTGTGTCTGAGTGGGGTATACATGTTAAACATCTTCCTTAGGCAAGAGAGTTAACTAACTTTAATAGTCCATTTTCTACCCTGGCCGAACTTGGCTGGAATTCCTGTGCTGGATCGTAGCGCCACAAGTGGCTATTACGAGTTATGTCCCTTCTATGCCTCTCCTATGGACCAATCAGATTCCACCTCTCGTATCACTTGCATTTGATTCAGTCAGGACGATCTGGTCGATAATCACTATCTAAATTGTGATAAAACGGGTCTTACATCGCGAAGTGCACCAAATTACGTGAGCACCTTGATAAAACCATGAAAAGATTTGGAAAATATCTGTTGACAACGAGTTGGCGGTGCACGTTTTGCAAATCCTGCAATCGACCGAAATCTGCATGACAGTTTACAAACCGGATTTCATTGCGCGATTTTGATTGGATTATGCATAGACTCGTTATCTTAAATATCCAAAATCTAACTCCACAATACAAGCCTAGTTCGGCAAGGGTGGAAACTGGACTTTTATAGTCAGTTAATTCTCTTGCCTCGGGAAGATGCATGTTTAACTGAATCGGTCCCAAATAGTACAAGCAGACACACACACACACACACACACACACACACACACACACTTCACACACACACACACTTCACACACACACACACACACACACAGCCCTTTAGTTGTAAGTCAGTGGTAAAGTATTGGTATTACGATTGTCTCAGCACATAGTAGCTCTATGGAATGGGGCCAACATCTACATACATGTATACATAATCCTAGAACAGGTACCTCAGTTTTATTGCAATGTTTGATAGTCATTACTTAGAAATTAAGGGATGACAAAGTGGACACAATTTGTGGATAACAACTTCTTTTATAACTGTAACGGCGACGTTTCTGTACAAATCCTTATACCTTGTCAAGCAAGACTGACAGACTTTAAAAACTACTGCTGCTGCGTTAAGTTGTCCACAGTCAGTGTCCGTCTTGACTTATTGCCTTACAACACCTCTTTTGGTTACCGACTATGATTTGAGTAATCAAAAAACATTATTGTACCTCATACTCGCACGCCTCTTTTCAAGACTCCTTTATTCCAAGTGTTTTAAGTTCCTGGAATGTTCTTGGTTGAGAAGTGAAAGAATTCTTCGTCACATGTTGCAAGCGTAACGCATTTAAAATAAAGTTCCTGCATACTGTATATACTAGTAGTAGTTGCTATATCTCATACAAGACAGGACACAACTACCGTTAATATCTTATCAAATGTCAGGTTCTTTGAATTCTCCATGTGAAAACGCTCATCGCAATTTCCTTAAAGGTACAAATGACTGTTTATTCAGACAAACTCCCTTGAGAGAAATGTGCAGTGCAGGAATTCTTCAAAATATAGGAAGAAAACCCTAACTTTTTAGTTGATGAGAAATCATCACATGGTATCATTCAGCCTGAAGTTTGTAGCGGGGTCGTTTTTCGAATAACGAAAAACAAGCCAGCACCTGGTTCGTTATTCAAAAGCTGTATATTAAACTACAGTAATGTGAAACTGTAACCACGTTTGTCTGACAGGTGTACCATCATCCTAAATATGTTTAGTTATTCATTACTTTAAAAAAAATTAAAGACCTGTCGGCACCTGGTTCGTTATTCAGTTTATGTCCAACAATTCTATCAAATTTAAGATAGTCTATCTTTTAACAACTGTTTAGTTATTCAGTACTGTTGAATAAAAAACAACATGCCAGCACCGGGTCCGTTATTCAGACTAGGTATTACAAGAATAAGATACCATATTTCATGGGGGTTCGTTTTTCGAATAACGCAACCAAAAAAACAGCACCAGGTTCGTTATTCCAAGGCTGCATATTAATCAACCACAATGCTATTTCCATATTTATTTTATCCTATAATGTAATTATACATTTTACCTCCCGTGTTGCTGTTTTGCTGATGTTATTATTGTCATTTTATAACCGAAATTCGGTTTAGGTATCTATTGTTGATCTTGTTGCTATAGTCACATCCTTACCACTGTTATAACTGTCAATTGAGTAGGTAGTACAAAATGTTCATATTTGCACTTATGAATGAATGAATGAGTTTATTCCGTAAAGGGGCCATCAAAGGGCCCATTATACAAGGTACATTGGATTAGTCAGTTCACTTATTTGCACTTATTGTATATTGATAAGACAAGCGTGTATATTTCATTGATATATGGAGGAGATTGAAAGTACCGTTGATCGCTCTTGTCCAATACATAGTTTTTGCCAATACACTATACTACTCAAAAGAATTAATATGAAAGAATCGGGTATTATTTAACTTCTTCCGAAAAGTATACATAAAAACTAAACGTTTATACATGGAAACGACCAAATGATATGAACAACGTAATCTCGTACTAATAAATAATCTCAAACAGCATGACCTATCCTGAAAATGAGCATACAACCGCGAATAATTCTCTCTTTAAAAATAAGCGTCTTCTTTCAAGTCTGTTTAGAAAAACAAATGTCAAATTTAGGCGTGAAGAGTTGTATATTTTACGCATGTGTTCGCCGACATTGTCACGTGATGTCATGAGTACGAGTTGAACCAATCAGGGCTCACTTCCGCTGCACGAGTTAACGTGCGAGAATTCCAGACACAACAAAACATTGATGCAGAGCATTAAAGTTCCCCGCCATATGTGATGCCTCACAAACGCATAATTATGGTGTTACTGAAAGGCATGAAGGAGCATAATTATATTAACCACAAATAACACAACGCTGTTGTGGAAAAAAATATTATTTATTTTGAGTATTGGGCAATACAGTTGATACATTTGCATAGGGTAGGTCTATTTAAAAATAGTTTCTTGTTTAACGCCGCACTCAGCAGTATTCCAGCCATATGACGGCGTGAGTCTCGTCCAGATAATCCAGTGATTGACACCAAGAGCATCGAACTACGCAATTGGAATATGATGTTATGCATCGACCAAATCGGCGAGCCTGACTGCCCAATCCTGTTCGTCGCCTCTTACGGCAAGCATGGGTTGCTGAAGACCTATTCTAACCTGGGTCTTTACTTAAAAAGTAGATCGAAGGAAATGGAAGCAATTTCTGGCACAAATGTAAACATGTTGAAATAGTATCAAAACTGCCAACAACATTGGCAGATGCACATACTCAAATAATAGATCACATTCTTTTTACACTTGGCATTTGGTTATAATAATGTCAATGAAAATACTAAGGGCTCCATATGGCAAAAAAGTCATACTAGATAAGCTCTTTTTGTAACAACCACAGATGCACATACTCAAAATATTATCACGTAGTTGGAGAACATTTCAATACCGGGACTAATCAATAACGGAGATTCCTTGTCTCTTGTTTTACGTTTTTGGGTCAGTTTCTTTTTTGTATTTCTTCCTTTCAAAGAATAGTAATTGTGATCATGATGAGTTGAGTTACTTGATCTTTTTCTATGTACTGTTTTTTATCCAGTGTCAGTAACTGTTGTGGAATGTGGTTTACTTGTAACAATGACTGGTTTGAGTTCATATGATGATGATTGATTGGTTTGTCGTTTAACGCCGCACTCAGCAATATTCCAGCTATATGACGGCGTTCTGTAAATAATCGAGACTAGACCAGATTAATATTATGAGCATCGATCCACGCAATTGGGATCGATGGCATGCATCAACCAAAGCCTGACCACCCGATCCCGTTAGTCGCCTCTTACGACAAGCATAGTCGCCTGATATACTGTTAAGATGTAACATAACAATTCATCCATACTACTAAACAGAAGTAAAACTGCTTGTACATTCGGATCAGCCTGACCCAAACCATTCCGCTGATGAGAGTCAAATTATGCATACGAATCACAATCCGTAACAATTGCAATAGAGACATCATTAAAAGTTACCAAAAGTGACTGGGATATCAATATTGCTTGTTGAAATAATTCTATGAAATTTGTTTTCCCTGCTTCAATATTTGGAGCACCTGTGACGGGGCCATAAAACTGATTATGGCCTAAATACCCCTCATAGCCTTCGGTGTTAACTATGTGACTGTAGAGAGCTGTGCCTTCATCCAACAGATTATCGAGGTCAGTGGAACACGGTACAGACGCAAATGGATTTGAGCTATGGGACACAAAATATATGATAGCGACCAGAGCTTCGGCTGTACATTAACTTCCATTAAACGGTTGAAAAATACTACAGCCTTGATGCAAATTCGCCGACATACTACTCCGATTTTGCTTTGACTTTGCTACCAAACGTTTCACTTGTGGCTATGTGCGGTGCACTGATTAAAAAAATACGGGGGACTGGGTTAATTCAGATACGGAATATAACTATTCCAAATATTTCCAGTGCACATTAGCATCCACGCAATCAAAAGTGTGGTATGTAGAATGTGGAATTCAGCCATATTACATTTAAATTGAGATGTCGTCTTTGTTCATGAATAAGCATATCCAGAACATATTTCCAGAACCGAAATTACCACGAGCTTGGACATATTTCTACTATTAGCTCTCTACATTGACTGTTTTTGTAAGTTGTGGTTTGTGATGTGTAAAGGCTATCCACGAAACAAATATTTTTTATCAACGTGATTTCTTGCTATGCTGTGGGCCTTTTTATGAACGATGACTATAACGATAAGGTACGTGCAGGGATATGTATATAAGAGCTTAATGAAACGATCTTGTTGTGACCATATGCTGAACAACATATTCCCCAATTCCCGAGCTGTAACATTTAAGGTTATACCAGTCATGGTGAG